GTGGCATATTGAGTGTAGCACTTTTACTGCATCGTCTTTTAAGATTTTGAATAGCTCAGCTGGAATACTGTCGCCTCCACTAGCTTTGTTGTTGCTCAGACTTCCTAAGGCCCATTTGACTTCACATTCCAAGATGTCTGGCTCGAGGTCAGTGACCACCACATCGCCATTGTGGTTATCAGGGACGTTAAGCTCTTTCTTGTCTAGTTCCTCTGTGTAATCTTGCCACCTCTTCTTAATCTCTTCTACCTCTGTTAGGTCCCTGCCATTTTGGTCCTTTATCATGTCCATCTTTGCATGAAATGTTCCCTTCATATCCCCAATTTTCTTGAAGAGATCTCTGGTCCTCCCTATTCTATTGTTTTCTTCTATTTCTTTGCACTGTTCATTTAAGAAGGCATTCTTATCTCTTCTAGCTATTCTCTGAAATTCTGCATTCAATTGTTTGTATCTTTCTCTTTCTCCCTTGCCTTTCGCTTCCCTTCTTTCCTCAGCTATTTGTAAAGTGTCCTCAGACAGCCATTTTGCTTTCTTGCATTTCTTTTTCTTTGGGATGGTTTTAGTTGCTACCTCTTGTACAATGTTGCGAACCTCCATCCAAAGTTTTTCAGGCACTCTGTCTATCAGATCTAATTCCTTACATCTATTTGTCACCTCTACTGTATATTCATCAGGGATATGATTTAGGTCATACCTGAGTGGCCTAGTGCTTTTCCCTACTTTCTTCCAATTTAAGCCTAAATTTTGCAATGAGAAGCTCATGATCTGAGCCACAGTCAGCTCCTAGTTTTTACTGACTGTATGGAGCTTCTCCATCTTTGGCTGCAGAGCACATAATCTGATTTCTGTGTAGACCGTCTGGTGCTGTCCATGTGTAGAGTCGTCTCTTGGGTTGTTGGAAAAGAGTGTTTGCTATGACCATTGTATTCTCTTGAGAAAATTCTACCAGCCTGTGCCCTGCTTCATTTTGTATTCCAAGGCCAAACTTGCCTGTTATTCTGGTTATCTTTTGGCTTCCTACCTTAGCATTCCAATCCCCTGTGATGAAAATAATTTTTTGGAGTTAATTCCAAAAGGTGTTGTAGGCCTTCATAGAACCGGTCAACTTCAGCCTCTTCAGCGCCAGTGGTTGGGGCATAGGCTTGTGCTACTGTGATGTTGAATGGTTTGCCTTGGATTCGAATTGAGATCATTCTATCATTTTGGAGATTGTATCCCAGTACTGCTTTTCCTACTCTTTTATTGACTATGAAGGCTACTCCATTTCTTCTGAGGGATTCTTGCCCGCAGTAGTATACCTGATGGTCATCTGAATTAAATCCACCCATTCCTGTCCATTTTAGTTCACTGATTCCTAAGATGTCAATGTTCAGTCTTGCCATCTCTTGTTTGACCACATCCAACTTGCCTTGAGTCATGGATCTCACATTCCAGGTTCCTATGGAGTATAGATCTTTGCAGCATCGGACTCTCCTTTCGCCACCAGATACATCTGCAACTGAGTGTCCTTTCGGCTTTGATCCAGTCGCTTCATTCTTTCTGGCGCTACTAGTACTAGCCCTCCGCTCTTCCCCAGTAGCACATTGGGCACCTTCCGACCTGAGGGACTCATCTTCCGGCATCATATCTTTTTGCCTTTTGGTACTGTCCGTGGGGTTTTCATGGCAAAGAGGCTGGAGTGGGCTGCCATTTCCTTCTCCAGTGGATCACGTTTTGTCGGAGCTCTCTGCTATGGCCTGTCCGTCCTGGGTGGCCCTGCACGGCAGAGCTCACAGCTTCATTGTGCTACACAAGCCTCTTCGCCACGACAGTTACATAGGGTCCTCCTGTGTGTGCCCAGAAGCTGCAACTACTCCTCTGTGGCAAAAGTACGAAGCAGAGTTTATACGTTTTCTAGGGAGCTTTTCCTCCTCTGTGGTTCACGTGCTCTTGCTGTCCGTGCTCCTGTCCTGCCCTCGTTCTGCCTTGTGGACCAGCTCCATCAGCACACGGGCTGGCACACAAATGTGAAAACAAACAAACCAGCCCCAGAGCAGGAATGGAATCTGCCAATTTCTGTCTGCAGATTAGGGGCTGTATTACCGAGTAGTGACAAAGCCACGAATTTGCAGAAATTCAGGCTGGAGAGAGCCATTTCTGTGAGAGGAAAGCCTGAATCATTTGCTTGGTGCGTGACTCCATGTTTGAGTGTTGCCCAGCCATTATGAGGCTGAGTGTAACTTACTTGCAATTAGGTTTAATTGTTGCTGTGCTTTTGCTGAGAGAGTTTAAGTATTATAGATTTCGGCCCAAGTTAAATTCAGAAATCCAGTGTAAATGTTCAAACATGAGTTTTGTGTTCTTTCAACAAAATAATTTATTTGCATCGTTTATTCACATGGTCGGTCAAGCAGTTGAAAGTGTGTCGACCCCATCTCAAATGGGGAGGAAGGAAAAAGGCCTTCAGTGGGTCCCCCTGGGGTCAGTGCTGTACCCCAAGTTTGGTCCAGGTCCAGGTTAGATAGACAGGGTGTCGTCAACACAGACTGGGAACAGCCTCGCACGCTCTGCCTTGTGAATGATCTGCCTTAGCAGCATTTCCTGTCATTCCCAGCAAAGCAAGGAAGCCTCACCGCTCGCTGTCCCGAGGCTGCTGCCCAGCCCCCTCAGAGGCTACGTCGCTGCAAACATTTCTCTTGTTTGTTCCATGGAGTGAGCAGAAAGTTCCAAGTGGGCTTAAAGTCCGTCATATTGTCCATATGCAGTTTGGCTCACCAAGACCATGCAGCCCTGAAAGTCTGGTGGTGGTATTAGTGCCCCGAGTAGTCCATCTCCATCCCTGTTCTCGCCTCCCGTCGTGCTGGTCCTCGGGGAGCGTTCCCGCTGCTGTAACTTAGGGCCACCCGCCGCGGGGTCACTTAGTCTTCTCCGTGAAGGTGAAGCTGTAGCACTCACGCTCCGGCTTCCTCTTATGCTGGCTGCCAAGAATGGCATCCAAAGATGGGTGGCAAGTCTGGAGGTGGCCAAGACTTCAAGAAAGGGTTAGGCTTAGGCTGAGAGTATTAGGAATTAGGTGTGTTTTGTTCCTGATTTTGACAGCTCCTCTCGTAGATTCCACACTGCCAGAGCCATCAAGAAGCTGTTTCCCAGTGTGGCCATGTCTTTCTCAAGCCTGCATGGCAGAGTAATGGCTGGACCACGGAGGACCCTCTGGGCCGCAAACAGTTGTGCTTCTTTCAACCCAAGGTACTCTGGAGTGGTGGGCAGGCGATCCTTCTAGAGACAAGGACTGTCTCTGACCAGCCAAGCAACTTCTGGAGTCGCCTGCCAGAGGTTCTTTTGCTCAATGCGAACTCCTTCCCGATAACTAAGTGCTGGCAAATCTATTCTGCTCTGGTCTTTGGGAGAAGGGCAAAGTGGGTGGGCAGCAGTGGCCAGGTTGCGACCTCACATGGATCAGGAAGCGGTACAGGGCTGAAGGCAGATGCACGTCTCTCTGGACCTGACCTGAACGTTCCCTTTCCGTGCAGGCTGCCTTCCCGGACGGGCCTCCCAGCACAAGGCAAGGCGCCTGCCGCATCCAGTAGCGAGACCAGCGCTGTCCGATCCCTTCCGACTGCTCCGGGAACCTCCAGTTCGGTGCCACAAGCCTTTGGCCGCCAGGCGCGGGACGCACAGCCGGGAATCCAGCTCTTCTGAATTGTGCCGCCCGGGCTGAGAAGCTGAAGCCCCTGTTGTGGAAGCCCCGATTCCTTTTCCCCAGCATGTCAGAGAGCTGGCAGCAGCAGCCCCCGCCCCCGCAGCAGCCCCCGCCCCACGCGGGGACGGCGGCCCTCCCGGAGCATCCCATCCCATCGGGCACTGTGGCCGAGAACCCGCTGGGCTGCGCTGTCTACGGCATCCTCCTGCAGCCGGAGCCCAGTGGCCTGCAGCACCATGCCCCGCTGCCCGCCAGTGCCGGGGGGGAGCCGCCCCCCAAGTGCGGGGTCTGCGGGCATGACCTGGCCCACCTCTCCAACCCACAGGAGCACCAGTGCCTGCCGGGCCACGACCGCTCCTTCCAGTGCACGCAGTGCCTGAAGATCTTCCACCAGGCCACGGACCTGCTGGAGCACCAGTGCCTGCAGGTGGAGCAGAAGCCCTTCGTCTGCGGGGTCTGCAAGATGGGCTTCTCGCTGCTCACCTCGCTGGCCCAGCACCACAACGTCCACAGTGGCAGCGCTGCGGTCAAGTGCTCCATCTGCGAGAAGACCTACAAGGCCGCCGCAGCCGCGGCAGCGGGCCCCGAGGAGCCGGCCACCCCACCGCAGCCGGCCGCCCTCAACCGGGCGCCCGCCGAGAAGCCCTACAGCTGCTCCATCTGCCAGAAGCCCTTCAAGCACCTCTCGGAGCTGTCGCGGCACGAGCGGGTGCACACGGGCGAGAAGCCCTACAAGTGCAGCCTGTGCGAGAAGAGCTTCAGCCAGTCCTCGCACCTGGTGCACCACAAGCGCACCCACAGCGCCGAGCGGCCCTACAAGTGCACCGTCTGCGAGAAGGCCTTCAAGCACCGCTCCCACCTGGTGCGCCACATGTACGCCCACTCGGGCGAGGCGCACCTCTTCCGCTGCAACGTCTGCGAGCTGCACTTCAAGGAGTCCGCCGAGCTGCTGCAGCACCCTTGCACGCCCAGCGGCGAGCGCCCCTTCCGCTGCGCCGCCTGCCCCAAGGCCTTCCGGCGGCCCTCCGACCTGCGGCAGCACGAGCGCACCCACAGCACCGAGCGCCCCTTCCAGTGCGACCTCTGCCAGATGAGCTTCAAGCAGCAGTACGCCCTCATGCGCCACCGCCGCACCCACAAGGCGGCCCCCGCCGCCGCCCCACCGGCCGCCGAGCCGGAGCCGCAGGCCGCGCCCTTCAAGTGCGCGCTGTGCGAGAAGGGCTTCGTGCAGCCGGCCCACCTGCTGTACCACCAGCACGTGCACGGCATCGAGAACCTCTTCCGCTGCAACGCCTGCCAGAAGGGCTTCAGCCAGTCCTCGGAGCTGCTGCGGCACCGCTGCGTGCAGAGCGCCGAGCGCCCCTTCAAGTGCGCCGCCTGCAGCAAGGCCTACAAGCGTGCCGCGGCCCTGCAGAAGCACCAGCTGGCCGCGCACTGCGCCGAGAAGCCGCTGCGCTGCACCCTCTGCGAGCGCCGCTTCTTCTCCTCCTCCGAGTTCGTGCAGCACCGCTGCGACCCGGCCCGTGAGCGCCCCCTCAAGTGCCCGGACTGCCAGAAGCGCTTCAAATACGCCTCGGACTTGCAGCGGCACCGGCGCGTGCACACGGGCGAGAAGCCCTACAAGTGCCCCGCGTGCGAGAAGGCCTTCAAGCAGCGGGAGCACCTGAACAAGCACCACGGCGTGCACAGCCGCGAGCAGCCCTACAAGTGCATGTGGTGCGGCGAGCGCTTCCTGGACCTCGGGCTGCTGCAGGAGCACAGCGCCCAGCACACCGCCGCCGAGAGCACCTACCCTGGCGCCCCCTGCCTGCCCTGAGCCCCCGGGCCCCGGCCTCGTGGGGCCCTTCCCCGCCTCTCCCCCCTCGGGGCCCGCCGGGGGGAGCAGCTGCAGCGGGCACGGCCTGCGCTTGTCGGGGGCCCTGCAGTCCGCGGCTGGCGAACCCACGGCGGTGCCCGTGGGAGGGGTCGGATCGGAACGGGCAGCCCATGGGCCTGGCGGCCGGCTCCGGCTCCGGTCCTGCCACGGGTCTCTCCGGGAGCGAGTGGCCACACTGGTGGGGACGTCTCCGCCAGGTGACTCTTGTGGCGGGAGTGGCGCGATGGGCCCCGTGGCGGACAGGCTTGGTGCGCGTGGCCCCCAGGAAGGTGCCGACCCCAGGAAGCCCCCTACCCGTGCCTCTTCGGGAAGTGACCCCGGTGGCCACGCGGCTTCGTTTGCTCCAAGCCCCCTTGGCCGCAGCCCCCTTGACTCCGGCCTGCTCAGAGCGCCCCGTGGCAGAGCGGAGGGTGCAGCCAGAAGAATGTGGCGGGGGGGGGGAAGCGCCTCCTGCTTAGAAGGCCTTCCGAGTGAGAGCTGTGCCTGCCCTCCACCCCACGGCGGCATGACGGGGAAGATTCCTGCGGGGGCCGTTGTTGACACGCAGCGGAAGAATTTGGGCAGGAGCTGAACGGACGCTGCACCACTCACACCGCCCAGGCCGGCCCCCCTGGAGCCCCCTCGCTGTCCTTACGTGCTCGTCTGCCGGAGCAGCCGGGGCGGGAGCGCTCGCAGGCCCCGGCCCTTCCTGGGGACCCTTCCGTGCGACGCGTGCGTGGTGTGTGCGTGTGCATTGCTCTCCCTGTGTACAGCCCCAAACAGGACGCGCTTGCAGGGCGGCTGCAGCTGGAAGGGGCCCGCGGAGCAGTCCTCGGAGCGCTGCTGGCTGGGAGGAGGCGCCTTTCCGCCTGGCCCACCCTGCCGGGGAAAGGCCAGAGTGCCTCCCCACACGGGGGCCGACCAGGAGCGAGAGGCCACGCACTGCCCCTCTGCGGGACTGACCAACCGGACCTTGCTCCTTTGCAGCACCTCCGATGTATAGAACTAAATTTTATGGAGCTTGTCCTCATTATTTTTCATATTGCTTTTTGAAAAGCAGGTTACTGTTCATTAAAAAGGTCTGTAGCTCACCGCCTGTGTTGCGTTGCCTCCATAAATAGGGCTGGCCCCAGTGGGCTGGCACCACAGTATGGCGAGTCCCCTCGCTCCCTGGTTTTTGCCCAGCTGCTCCCTGGGAAGGGACGGCTTGGTGCTCCCAAGGACGGGTTGTGCCTGGGCCAGACGCTGCCCAGGACGACGGTGTGTGCTTTGCAGCAGGTTGGAAGGGGCCAGGCAGGCCTTCCCGCCATGACCCACCACATGGGATCTTTTGGCCTGGAAACGGGCCGTGTTCCAGGCAGCCCACCCAAGATGGTTTCCCAAAGCGGGATGGGGGGAGGTCTTCTGTTATTTGGATTTGGAGGCCGTTCCATGCCACCCTCCGAGGGCCCAGGCATCTGCAGACGCCCTGCGGAGGGTTTCCCCAGCACGTGCTCTTTCCATCGCCCTCCCGCCACCTGCGGCCTCGTCTTCGAGGAGGAGCGTGGCTTCCTGCCTTGCTGCGCCCTGGCCCTGCTCTCTGCGGGGCTCCCGGGAGCAGCCCCGGCATGTGAGCAGGGCTGCTGTTTGCCCGCCCGCGCCAGCCCTGCAGGGAAGCGGCCTGCTGGCCCCCGGGGCTCCCAGAGGCTGCAGGGCTAACCCGGCTGGCAGGCCAGAAGGCGGCAGGCCTTTCCTGCGAGTGCTGCCGAGCGTGCAGTGGCTTCCAGCGAGCCGCAGGCCCTCGCCCCCGCCCCACGGCAGGGTGGGCCCCAGGCTGCGGCCGCTGTCCAGCCCAGCCGGCAGGCCCAGGCACGGCCGGGCTGCTCTCCCAGGCGTGCGTGTCGTCCGGGCTGCCCCGGGCTGCTCAGCGCACGGGCCAGCGGCGGCGTGTCCAGGCGCCCAGGTCGGTGCCGGGGCCCCGCCTGGTGGGGGGGAAGGCAGGCGCGGCTGGCGGGTGGGCAGGCCTGGGGCGAGGGGATCGTGGGGGGCGTCTGCGGAGGCTGCAGGCTGGAGAGAGGCTGGGAGCGCGTCCCCTTCGGGTCTGTGCTCCGCCTGGACACGTGCCGAGCCGCCTCTCAGGGCATCGAGTGTCGTCCGCTGCTCAGAGAGCTTCAGCCATTGGGCGGTGCAGGGATGTTACGCACAGAAGCCTGGAGATGGGAGGTGTTGCCAGACACCCCTCCCATCTGCCCCCTCCCTCAGCAAATGCGTTTCACTTAGCCAGGAAAGACCCTCTCCCTGGTCCTTTGCCGAGGCCGCTCGCCACCTTTATTCCTTGTCGACCTTCACCAAAGGAAGAAGACGGGGGGACCAGCTTGCTAGCGCCATGGCTGGAGATAATGAGACCGGCTGGAAGGGGGGAGAGGACGCATCTCAGGAGTCCCGCCTGGCGCCTTGGCAAAGCCAGGCACCCCCAGGCTGAGCATGGCGTGCTCTCGGTCGTTAGCCGAGGTCCCTCCGGACGGTGTGTCGAAGGGCTTGTCTGCACTCGGAGGAGGACGGTGCTTCCCTCTTCGTGACCACGAGATTTAGCCAGCTATTCTGCCTACTGTGACAGTCGCTTCTCTATCAAATGACTGTCCCTTGTATAGGACCTTACAGAAGTTGTCACCTCTCCCACGCGTCCACATTACGTTGTGTTACAACCCAGAACTGAAATGATTCCTACTTGGTGGATGCAGCATTGCAAAGGTGCAAAATGTTTTTTATTGTGGCACAAAGGCGAAGGCAACGAAAGCTAACTGGGCCCCGTTGGCTGTGGGAGGATTCGCCCCCTTTGCAGTGCCGTGCCTTGGGGCAGCCCCCAGCCCCCAGAAGTCGTGTGCCGGACGTTTCGTGCTTGCATGGGGTCTGTCCATGTGCAATTCCAGTGCCGCCTGGGGAAGCACAGCTGTTTCTGGAAACCCTCCAGTTCGCTGGAGAGAATCCAAACAAACGGCGACCTGAAGGCCCAGGAGCTGCCAAGCAGCTCCAGGAGAAAGGTTTGCAGAAGCGTCAACCAGGACTGCTTTATCAAAACATGCCCCTACCTGTGGCCCTCTTCTGGCGCACGGTTACATTTGTTATGGATTTGGCTGACCTGCAGCTCTCCCCGGGGAAGGAGGGCCTCTGTCAGAGGAGCAGCAAAGGCCAGTGGGAACTCGGAGGAGCCTGAGGATCGGCAGCCTAGCTGGGAGAGCCGCCCGTCCCCAGAGCTGGCCTTCGCGGAGCGGAAGCAGGAAGGCGTCGCTGCAGAAAGCCCCTTCTCCAGGGAAACCGCTTTGCCTGCACGGGGCCCGGGCCAGGGCGGACAAGGCTTTGTTCACCCTGCAGCGGCACCGTCTTTGTGGCGGCACCGTCCCTCGACACGCAGCCAGAGCAACACGGGGTGGTGTAGGAACGAGGAGCTGAATGGCCCGGGCAGAACCAGACGGCGGGCTGATGGAGAATCTGTGGCTAGACCTGGAAGGTTCTGTTCCCCAACCAAACAGCTTCGCCACGAAGCAAGGGCAAACTGGCAGGATCCAGATGTGCAAAGCCATCCGAGATTTCCCCAAGAAGATGCAGCTGGAATGGCCAAAGGTGTTTCTCCCAAGTCTTGACTGGTGTGCGTGTGCGTGTGTGTGAGACAACCCACAAATGGCAGGCGCTTTTGTTTACTTTTGTGCTCCAATAAAAACACCGCACCGTCTCAATGTTGAGTCGTTGCACTTATGTAGTAGTAATAATGGCAAGTAAATCCATTTCAACTCCAGGTTGTAGCACAGCAGAATGTGGACAATTCAAAGGGGCTGGATGCTTCCGCAAGGCATTGTGAGTTCCTTCCCCAGGTCCTTCAGTGCTGTCCTAAAATCACCATTCTCAGTGCGGTGGCAACTGCTGGCTGAAATCCTTTTGCTGTCTCTCGAGTAACGAGGACGGCTGGCAGGGGCCAGGACCCCCTCCCCCTGCACTGCAGTCCCAGTCGATGGATGTCTTGCCCATCCTCATGCATCCGTCTGTTTGGCCGCTGATGATGTGCTGAGCACCACAACTAATTTGGCCTTCAGCAACAGAAAGCTTCCAAACAAAAGCTGCCTGCAAACTGCGTTGAGGGCGAGGTCAGCCGGACTCGAGGCCAGTGCAACGTGCTGCTGGGAGTCTGGCCGTCTGATTCGCTGCAGAGCCGCCTGTGCCCGCTTACCTGTGTGCAGATCCAAAGCTCCTGTAGGTGTTGCTGCAACCAAGCAAGAAGCAATCACGGCTCGGCTGTGCAGAGTGCGGGGGGGGGGGCGGGGGAGCATGCATCAATGGGGAGCGAGGTACTCACACCGTGCTGTGAGGGAGGGGCTTCGGGCCGTACCGGTCCAGGCTGGGATTCTGGTTGAGGCAATACTGGCACGAGACAAGACGGGAAGAGACACCTCATGTGGCAAATTCGGCAGCATGCAGCCCTGTGAACTGCCACACAATGTGGCGGCAGGGCGCTGTTCGGGCTGGCAGCCCTGTCGCAGGATCGCCCCTTCCCAGGCCCTGCTGCCCCGCAGCCAGCGTCCTGCAGCGTGCTTGGGCCCTCCGGAGTTGTGGCAGCCCGCCCCCGCCTAGGAGTTTGGAGGGGGGCTTGTGGAAACCTGGCGCTCCCCACCCTCACTGCTGGAAGGAATCGTGCTCGGAGAATGAGCCTCCCATTAGCCCAGGCACACGAGGCGTTGCAGCGGAAAGTGCCTCCGGGGGCTCCTGGGGCCAGCTGTTCCAGGCACCGCCTCTCCCCCCACTGGGGGTCTCCTCCCTCCGGGAAGCCGCTTCACAGGCCAAGTCCCCGCTGCGCTGCCGGCTGGCTTGCCTCCCGCCCGGTGGCTGCTCGCACCTGTGCCCAATCCCCACTGCATTGCTCGTGTCTGTTGTATCCTTGTTCATGGGGGATATTTTAAAAAAGCTTCCCAGTGTGAAGCGGCAGGTGGGTCTCCAGGTCGGAGACCGCCCTGTCCAAAAGCACGTTCTCTCCCTCTGCGGCGTCCTCGCTCCCTCCCGGTCCCCTGAGCCTTCCGCTCGTTCTGGCTCTCAGAACGCAGTGCGTGGGGTTGCACCACACGCCGCGTCGGGACGGCTCCAAGGCCACGCTGGTTCGGCCAGCACGGCAAGCCGGCATGCCCCCCACAGGGCAGCCCTGAAGGGGTGCGGAGCCGCCCTGGCACGCTGCGGCTTGCCCTGGGGCTCCCCCGCAGCGCCTCCGGCCAGCTTGGCTGTTCAGGCCTGGGGTGGAGGGTTTAGAAGGCTGGAGGGGCCTGTTGGTGGATGGGCCGCCTCCAAACGAAAGGAACTCGGCAAAACGCCTGGCCCAGCTCAAAGCAGCCCTTGTCTCCGCCACCCCAACACACACACACGTGCCTGCGTGCGTTCTAGTGAAAATGGCTCCCTTACCCGCCAGGTCTGGGTGACGTCGGGCTTCAAGTACCTCACAGCGTAACAGCTGAATCCAAGAACTGCAATGGAAGCGCAGGCAGCTCGATGCCCGGGACTTTCCAGCAGCGCTCTGGGGAAAGCGTGTGGGGCCCCCGAAAGCAAACTGGGGCCGGGGCTGTCCCCCACACCTTGCTGTGCAAACGGTGCGACCCTCCCCGCCATCTCGTGCTCCTTTCTATGGTGCGGCTTCGAAGCGAGGTTTAATCTGGCCACACGGAGCCTGCCCGGGTTTTCGGGGCATCTGCGCAGTGAACCGAACGTGGCCGCTCCGCGCTGCCGTCCTCCTGCAGCTCTGTCCACGCACGGCATTCCCGGGGGCGTGAGAGCTCCGTTGCCACGAAATCCGGTTAAAGGGTAGGAATGTGCGGCGGCGCTTGCGGCTCAGGCACTGCCAGCCTGGCCTACCTGCTGCTGCCTGCGGATGGCGTGTGCGCGCGGCACGCAGAGCGGTTCTTGGGCGTGTGCTGTGGCCGGAAGAGCGGAGGCGGGGGCACCGTGTGCCCTAACCTCCGTCCTGACACCCTTCCGCTTCCCTCTTGCCACTTGGCATTGACTGATGCCTCAGGGATGGGGGATTCTTGGCTCCCGCCGCACCCACTCCTCTCTCAGGCCCTCCCATCCATTCTGCTGCTCAGCGGATAGCCAGACTCCGCCCTGGAGAAGCCCTGGCGGGCGTGTGGGCAGGGGGCTGGCTTGGGGACCTTGGCCACACGGCGCTCCAGGAGAAGGGGCGGAGGCCCAGCCCCTGCGCCGCGCACCTTTCTTGTTGAAGCTGGGCAGCCGGAACTCCCCGGCGGTGGAGACGAAGTGCGACCAGTCGTCCATGGCCCGGGTGTAGCTGGGCCACTCCTGGTTGCTGCTGGGCACGAGTGGCGCCATCTTCCCCGCCCGGTACTTCTCTGTCAGCGACTTGCCCAGCTCCGTCATTCCCTGGGCACAGGAGACCCCGGTGTGTCCCGTGTGCCCCGGCTCATTGCAGGGGAAGGGTGCGCAAGCTCCCCACGCCCCCCTCAGGGACCCCTTCCGGTTGGCAGGTGACGCTCGCCGAGTCTTTGGGACGAGGCTGGCAGGAACAGGCCGGCAAAGCTCAGGCAGCCCAAGAGCCCAGTGCCTTTCAGAGCAGTTCATGGGGCACAGTTCAGTGGCCCCAGACGCCAGCCGGAACCCGAGACTGAGCGCACTTCTGGGAGAAGGCTGCAGGAGCTGGGAGTCTACAGGAAAAGGCCCCACATCCCTCCCCAGTTCTTTCTGGGTTTTGTGAGAGGCTGTTATGCAGGCCTTTTAAAGAAAGTCTGGAGGAACGGAGCCCGGGGGGATTTGCCGTTGGCGCCTGCGCTTGTGGGGAGGGGCGGCCTCTCCCGGCACATGCAGGAGCCCCCAGGGAAGCGGACCTTCTGTGCAGAAGCCTCCGCTTCAGCACGATCTTCTGGAGCAGCACCGGCTGGCCGCTGAATGCCCAGGCAACCAGTGGACTCACCAGGGATGGGAAGCGCCGATTGGGCGTTCCGGCCAGGGTGAATGTTGCATTTTCAAAATCCTCTGCAGGAAAACAGAAATGAGAAAGATTAAAGGGGGACCTGACAGGCCGGCATCCCCCAGTGACTTGGACAACCCCTTCAGTTGTCCAATGCTCAAGTTCCTAGCCCTCAGTATTTTGGAAGATAAATTCATACTGCTGAGTGGTTTCTGCTAAAGATTTAAAAGCAATGGCAGTGTGACTGATGCTAATAACAGTGAGTCAAATTATCTGCTAGCCCTGGTCCCAGACCTGGAGTGGGGCAGGGCAAGATTCTAAGCTCTGTGAATCTAGAGCGGCGGGTAGTGTGCATAAAAAGTCAAAGAGGCACTGCCAGTGCCCGATTCCAGTGCCACTGAGCAGAATCCCCCCCCACCAGAGCTAGAGTGTTTCACATATAGAACTGGGGCCAGAGATTAGAGTAGAAATGTTGCTTTGAGACATCGTGGGGTTCAAAGCCTGGTGTACTAGTTTTAAAGAGTGCCGAACCTAGAAGGGTGTGGATCTCCCAGCCGGCCTGCCCAGTCCAACCCGCCAAGCTTCAGGGATTTCTTCTGGGGGGTGGCGTTTAGTCTCCAAGCCCCACCTCTTGAGGAACCCCACTAAGATCAGTAATAACAGCTATTTCCTTGTGGGTTTTAGTGGAAAACTCACGCGGTGCTTCCATGGGGTCCCTTCTGCTTTCCCGAAGTAAGTGCATCCCTTGCTAGGTGCTCAGAGAGGTGCAACATCTTGTGCATTCCTCAACATGGAGAAATAAAATGTTGGGGAAGGTGCAGCCCTTGCCAGTGCTGGGGAGGATCCAAGTCCCCAGGAGAAAAAGATCCCGGCATGCTTGAGGAAATGTCCCTGTCCCTGCCTGATTCGGTCCAGAGGGTTCCCAGAGAGGAGTCCAGTTCCCCGATCCAACCCTCTTTGCCCAGAGCTGCACAGGAAGGCGGCTGGCGTTGGCCCCCACCCTTCTCTTGCGCCCCGCCAGCAGCCACAGCCCTGCTCACCTTTGGAGCAGGAGGTGGCTGTCCGGGAATGCTCGTCTGTGAGCTTGCTGGCCATGGTATCCATGTCCATGCGCCTCAGCGACGGCAGGAACGGGTGGTAGAGCTGGCCCTTCACTCCAGCTAGCATCACTTTCCTGGGCTCCAATGGCAGCAGAACCGCCGGGGCAGCATAGACAGGGCCGGCATCCTGAGGCCATGGGACCAAATCCAGCGCTTGTGCCATTGCTGCAAAGCTTCCAAAGCAGAGGGAAGCACCGGAGCACCGCTGAGCGCGGGTGGCAGGGTCACCGTGCGCACACCCCTCTGGGCCACGTCTCAGGCCCTGGGCAGCTCCTTGCTGGCCAGGGATCAGAGCGGCCGCCCAGCATTCTCAGGATCGGTCCCAGGCCCTGCTGGGATGCTCAGCCTCCCGGCGAGCCCCGGCTGGGACCCTGCGGCCGAGGGAGAGAGCAGCCCCGCGTCCGGCGTGCTGGCCTGTGCTCCGGCGCCCGCGTTCCTGCGTCGCCCGCCCTGCCTCGCTGCCTGGCCTCGCCTGCCGCACCTCGGCCTCCCGGGATCCTGCCCGCTCCCTCCGCCGCAAGATACCTGCTCCTTGTGCTGCTGCCTCGCCAAGTCCTTGGCTTGCTCGCGGCACGAGCCAAGAAGGTGGTCGTCCCACGGGAGGGGCGCTAAGCCAGGGAGCCTCAGCGTCGTCCCCCCGACCGCAGGTGAAGAGGCCTCATGCAGGTTGGCGCACCTGCTGCGGGAGGGCTGCACAGGCCAGGGCAAGTGGTAAAATGCCATGTTTTTAATTCACTTGTTTCCGTGTCATGTGTTGATTCAGATTAATTTTTTCAGCCTATAATTTCGTGTTGCCTGGTTGGAGGGCCACTTTCTTGGCTAAAGCGAGGGGGATAAGCTAGGAGGTGTGCAAAATGCCCACGATTCCAAACATGGATCAAGAGTTCTATGACACGGTAGAATAAGCGAAGGGCAGCGCGATGGGGGCCGCACTGCGTGTGCCGCTCTGGTCGCTGCACCCAGAAGGGTCAGTGCCGCGTCGGAGGAGGGCAGGCGGGGCGGCAGACGGACGCCGGGCTGGGGCAGCTTCCTTCACGGGAGCAGCTGCAGCACCTGGCACTGTTCGGCTCAGGAGAAACGGCCCGGAAGGGGAGGCAGAACGGAGGGGTGCGCAGGATGACGCCTCCTGTGGAGAAAGTGGGGAGGGACGAGGGCGGGGCGGGGCCGATGGACCAGTGGGGACAGTTCCAGGGTTTGCCCCTTGCCTTGCCCTGGGCATGGCCCACGAGGCTCCCCAGCCGAGAAAGCGGGAGATGACTGGGCAGCCAGAACCTGCCCCGATCCGAGCCCCAAAGCCCTGACCTCCCCGGGCCGGCTGGAGAGCACAAAGCGGCTCGGCTGACGGCTGACCAGTCCCTGGCCCGGAGCCTCCTCTGCAGGGCAGGTGCTGAAGGTGCCCGCTTCCTCTCCCTCTCCAAGGCTCCAGCAACGAAAGGCCAACGGGGCAGTGCGGGAAGTGAGGGGTGGCACTGCAGCAAGGCAGCTCCCCTTGCAACACCCCCCTGCCCCCCAAAGCCAGGGCAAAAGAGAACTGGGAGTACCTCCCCAAAGGGAGACCGGCTTTCCGTCCTCTCCTGTCCTCGCTCTGCAGCTTCCCAGGCACTCGGTCCCTCGGCACACAGACCCAAATTCTCCCCAGCAACAGGAAGCCGCTCTCCGGGGAGTTCTCGGGTGATGTGGGCGAAGTTGCTAGGTGACTGAACCAGGTCACTGGAGTTACCTGGATACCTGCGGGCCTCTCCATTCGGCAGGGCTGGCAGGAGGCGGGGAGGCCACTGGGGGTCACCGGTCCCAGCTGCCAGAGGCTCTGCGGGGACGGGCCCCAGGAAAGGAGGGCTGGTCAGTGGGACCACCAGCCCGGGCCAGTCTGGGAGGAGGTGGGTGGGCTGGCTGGTGCGGAGCAGCAGCCCTCCAGGGGGCCAGCAGAGGAGGAGCCGTCGGCAGCTGGGTGGCCGCCCTCTGGCCACCCTCCCCTCCTCACAGAAAGGGCAGCTGGGCAGGGAATGCTGTGCCAAGAGCGGGAGGCCGGCTGCCCATCAGCCCTCTTCCCAACGGCTCTCCAGAAGAGTGAGCAAACCGGGCCGCTCCAGGAGCCGGCTTCCAGACGCTGCTCCTGGCTGTGCCCAAGCAAGGAGGAAGGGGCCTCGCTGAGCATCTGGGGCCAGTGGGAGCCCGCCCAGCAGTCTGGCTACTCCAGGATGGGAGGCTGGCTGGTGGGCAGGAGCTCCCGGCGGTGGCTTTCTTTCCCTCAAGCTGCCCCATGGCAGTAGAAGTGGAGGGACGCTGTGGCTGCCGCAGCAGTATGGGGCCGTCCGCCTGCAGCAGGGGAAAAACCAAGCCAGTTGGTCCGTTTTTAAATGCAAAGCTCTTCAAAATTGGCACAGCCAGAGGTAAGGGGGGGGGGGGTAGAGACATTCAGTTCATATGTTAGGGCCTGTTTGCTTAATTTTGCACTTTTGAATCAATACACAAGCCAAGGCAGATTTATCTTCCAAAATTTGTACATTTGCAAATTTTGCAATGGAGTTCCCTGGACAAAATATGTGCATATTAGGGGAAAGCGCTTGCGAAACTGCAGGTATTGCGGAAAACAATGTTAGAACGCATCCAATGGGGAAAATGTCTGATCGAAGATAAAACCGTTCATCCAAAAGGCACGTGGAGCGGCAGGCTGAGGCAAGGCGCGGACGGATTTGCGTGTGGACTGTGTAAAAGGTCTTTCCACGTCGGAAAGGCGCCGAAGAGGAGGGGTGGCGGCCGGGCGGGCGGGGGCGCCTGATGGGACCTGCGCTCATCCGCGGCTGGGGAAGGCCCCGCCAGGCGCAGGCGCCGGGGCCCGCAGTGCCCGCAGCAGCCCTCCGCGTGGGGCGCGCCCTGCCGCAGGGCAGCCAATTTGGAGGGATTGGGGGCAGAGGAAAATCCCGTTAGCGGCGCAGGCTGCCGGCTCATCCCTTGAGCGGCAGCGCCGGCAGTGGCCCAGTTAGCCCAGCCTCCGCCTCCCGCCGCCTGGCCTGCGAGGCCCGGGGCGCCCGATCGCGGCCCCTTTGCGTGCGCCGCTGCCCACGCCCTTCCCCCCGAAGGCCTTCGGCCGAGCCGCCCGCTGCCCTAATCCGCTTGGTGCGCCCGGCTTCGCTCCGCTAAGCCCTCGCCCGGCGTCCGCCACCCGTCTCGCCTCCTGAGCAGCCGCCGCAGCGGAGGCGCTTGTGCAGAACTGCTGCCCCTCGGGACCCCTGCGGGCAGGAGCGGCCTTGCCACCGGCGCAGGAGGCGGCGGGCAGGCCGGCGGCTCCCCAGCCTTGCTGCAGGGCCGGTAAGGCGCGGCTGGGCCCGGGGGCGGTGCGGGAGCCCGGCGCTGTTCCGCAGGCCGAAGGAGCCGCGCGCCCCTCGGTGCACCGGCCGCGGCACGCACGAGGCCCGTGTGGCAAGCCCCGCTCCGGCCGGGCCATTTCCCGCTCGCAGGCCCGCGGCAGCGGCCGGCTCGGCGCCGCGCAGGGGACGGGGCCTGCTCGGGAAGGCGCGTCGGGCGTGTGGCGAGCGCGTCGCTGCGGGGTCGGGAAGGGGCGCCCGGGACAGCGTCCCCAACTTGGCGCCCTCCACGGGTGTCGCATGGTAGCCTCCGCCGTGGCCAGGAGGGCTGCGAACGGAGGACTCTATTCTGGGAGTATTGGCGGGCCGGAGCGGGACCCAGGCCAGCCGCAGCCGCAGCCCTAGCCCTAGCCGAGCTGTGCAGCCCCACGGAGCGGCTGGCCGAGGGCGCCCGCCGCACGGCTCCTCGCTGCCTTTTCCCCTTGCAGAGCGCCGCCCGGCAGGCCCTTCCGTGGGGACGGGATGCTCGGCTGGATGGAGCGCGTCGTGCCGCAGCCTCCGGGCGGCTCCCCGGCCCCCGCGGCTGCGGCCGTCCGCCCGCCGGCCGCCGAGCGAGCAGGAGAGGCCGGGCCGGAGCCCGCGCGGCAGGTGAGCGCACCTCTGCGAGACTCGCGGGCAGCAGGGGCCCGGCAGCGGGGCCAGAGCAGAGCTGCAGGCCGGGGGCGGCTGAGGGTGCCAGGAGGCCCTGACCGGGCGGCCGGCAAGGCGGGGAGGGCGAGGCCGCGCGGCAGGGACCGGAGCAGGCGGGGGCCCGGCCGAACAGGCGCCGGACCGCATGCCCGCGGGTGGGGAGCCGGGGCGGCCCTCCCCTCCGCTCCGCTCCGCTCGTAGCCGGGGCTCCCAGCCGGGGCTCATCGGGAGGCGGAGGTCGGGCTGATCTTTCCAGCACCGCGTGGCTGCTCCGCGTCTCGACCAGCAGGGGGAGGCCGGGGGTGCGACGGGGAACGGGCGGCTCTCCCGCCTGGCCACGTGTTGCCTGGCGGGGCGGACGGGCTGAGCGGCCCTCTCCTGGGCCAGCGCTCCCATCGCACGCTGCCGGACATTCCCCCTGACTCTTCCTTCTTCCCTCCTGCAAACCGCCCAGCTCCCGGCGGGGAGCCCTGCCAGCCCTGCCAAAGCAGAAGGTAAGAGCTGGGGCAAAACCAGTCGAGCAAGGGGGCTAATTTAGAATCATAGAACAGAAGAGCTGGAAGGGGCCGTGAAGGCCATCAGGTCCACCCCCTGCTGGTGCAGGACACCCAGTCACACCATCCTGCTCAGAGGGCTGTCCGGGTTCTTTCTGAGTGTCTCTGGTGTGGGAGAGCCGGCCACCCCTCCAGGCAGCTGGTCCCACTGCCGTATTGCTCTGACTGTGAGAAAGCTTTTCCCAATGTCCAGCCTGAATCTGGGTTGCCGCAGCTTGACTTGATTCTTCCGAGTCCTACATTCTGGCATTAGCAAGAAGAGTTCTTGGCCTTCCTCTTTGTGGCAGCCTTTGAGGTACTTATAGACATCTAAATCATTAATAAAGATGTTGAGGAGCACTGGGCCCAGGACTGAACCCTGTGGCACCCCACTAATTACCTCCATCCAATTTGAGAAGGTACACTTTGTGCCTGATTTAAGCAGCCAATTTTGGATCCACCTAATAGTTTTTCCATCTAGTCCAGTTTTTGCTAATTTGCTTATCAGAATGTCGTGTGGCACTATGTTGAAAGTCTAGGTAGATTATGTCCACAGTGTTTCCTCTGTGGATTTGGGAAGTTAGCCAGTCAAAAAATGAGATTAAATTAGTCTGACAGGATTTATATTTGATAAATCCATTCTTGCTTCTCTTAATCACTGCATGTCCTTCAAGATGCTTGCAGATGGATTTTTTAATGATTTGCTCCAGAATTTTTCCAGGGATTGATGTCAGACTAACTGGTCTACAGTTCCCAGGTTCATCTTTTTTCCCCTTTTTGAAGATGGGGACAATGTTAACCATTCTCCAGTCGTCTGGCACTTCTGTTTTCCAAGATTTATCAAAGATAATAGCCAGTGGTTCTGAGAGTTCCTTTGCTAGCTCTTTTATGACTGGGATGGAGTGCATTGGGCCCTGGAGATTTGAAAGGGTTTATTCCACCTAGGTATTCCTGGATACTGCTGCTGTTCCTGGAAAATATACGCATAAAACAATGCCACAGTCTCTAGAGCTTTTCATAACAAAATGTGTGAAAATAATATACAACTAACAAACTTGGCAAACCATCTCTAAACCGCTCGTGCATCTGGTGAAGGGCAGGGAAAAATAAGCAAAGTAGAAAAAATAAAATAATAAATAGACTATATTTAGTTTATATATGTATGCGCACACACACTAAATGTGCATAATAATTTGTTTGGAGTATGTGTGTGTACATATGCATGCACCCCCCCAGAAATAAGAGAGAAACCATTAAAATGTAGCTGTAACAATATCTAGTGTATAAAAAACATATTGGCAGCAGCACGTAATAACATGAAGAGCAAAACGTCGCTGAAAATCAAGACTTCACCTATTGAAATAACTGTGGCCCAAGCCTGCTGTCAGAAGTGCCCGAAGGCCGAAGGGTTGGCGCCCACCGGTCCCCCAGCAGGATGGTGTTCCAGGGCTGGGGCGCTCTCCGCAAGAAGCCCCCGCCCTGCAGGTGCCCCCTCGCTTCGTTGAGCGGGGAGGGCTCTGTGTGGAGACCGGCTGAGGCAGGCGCTCCCGGGGACGACCTGGCCCCGAGCCGTGCGAGGCGCCTGCTGCCAGCGCCTGTTTTCCAAGAGCAGGACTATGTCAGCCGCTGTGACGCTGCCCCTCGCTGCACCGGAGTCTCTTCCACGAAGGGCTGTGGGGGCCGGCGTGCGACGCAGGGATGGAGCAGTGGCGTCCTCGGCGCTCGGGCACCCGGTATGGGTGCTGTTGACCCACAGCTGTCCTCCTTTAGGGGCAAACGAGGAGACCAGCGGAGCCGGGGATCCCGTATCCACCACTGAAAGGTACCTGCGCTTGTGTTTTATGCACACAGCCCGTCTCCCTCGGGGTCCTTGTTCGGGACACCAGAGAAACGGTCGTCCGCCCCGGCCCACCACCAGCTGGAGCCCTTGGGCAGGGACCGCGCAGTTGGACACGCTCCATGCAGCTCCCTGGATGTCGGGCTCTCTCCGGAGGGGCAGCCCTCAGGCCACCAGCTCGGCCCTTGCCCTGCCCCTCACCGTTTCCCACAGTACCTTGGGCGCGGGCATCCTACTGCCCCCAGATTCCCTTCTGCCGGCATGTCTTCCCGGGAGCAGCCCAGGAGGACCCGCTGGCCTGGCTTCTGCTGCTCCCGTCTGCGCTGCAGCCCGGGCACTGGCTCGCGCAGCGCTGTCATGGCTCCGCTTCCGGCCGCTTTCACATGTGTCCTTGGGCTGGGAGGGAAATCCCTAAAATGGCCTCCCGTGGGCATGCAGATGCTCGGTCAGAACGGGGACTGAGCCAAGCCCCTGGGGACTCCCGATGGCTGCACGTGTCCCTTGGGGGCTTCCAGGCGCTGGAGCGGCTCTCCCCACACACCGCCTGTGGCTCCCTTGCAGCACTGCCCGGGGCGTCCTGGCCTGGCTGTCCCAGGGCCTTGAGAAGGTGATCCCGCAGCCGGCGCAGAGCCCTTCCCGTGCCCTCACCCTGCAGGCTGCTGCGGCGAGCTTTGAGGCCAGCATCGACATCCCGGACCTGGTGAGTGCCAGTCCGATTGGACCCGCGCCTCTGGGACCGTTAAAAGGGCCGGGGGACTTTAGGCAGCCGGGATCTGGTTGGTTTTTTTACTGGAAAACCGGGAGGGGGGGACGTTCCGTGTGGCGGGTGCAGCAGATCCTATCCCTTTTTTAACGTTAGGGCCTAGATCCAAATCAGACGTGGTGGGGAAGTGAGTCAGGCCTTCCCACCCCAAGGCTCCCACAAACCCCACATGTTCGGGGGCCGAGGAGGTGCCGCTTCGCTTTGCGGAGCCTCGGCACTCGGGGAGGCAGGGGTAGCATCTGTGACCCACCCGCGCATGGTAATCCCGTCTGGATTGGGACCCTCTGCACTTACGCTGGAGCAGAAAAAGCCGCGATCTGCCAAGCGCTGAGTCCCGCCTGCTGGTTCCTGGTGCGGAAGACGCACCTGCCCCCCCAAAGCGTCTTGGCAATGCATGACTCATGTCGCCCAAAGCCATTGCAGAAGGCACGGGTGAAGGACTCAGCTGTTTGCCGGAACTGCTTTTGGGGGCTGTTCGTTTAATGCAGTTTGCTTTGACCAGAGGTGGTGCAAAAGACATCCATTAAATTTGAATTAAAAAATGCTAAGCTCAGGGATTTGTTCTGAGGACCGGAAGCAAATGGACCTTGCCAACCTTACTTACTTATCTCTAACATTTGCGCGCTGCCTGATTCTGCCGCAGCACCTCTGGGCAGCTTCCCTTCTACACAAAGCTCCAGCCGTGGGACCCTACCATTCCCCCCCCAGCAGCGCCTCTAAATTGGGCCAGCAAAATGGAAATGGTCTTGTGGCCGCTGTTGATTGGCCGGGGCCGAATCGCCTGTCGCCCAACTGAGCATCCGAGAAACCGCGCCAAATGCTGGCGCGCGGCTCTTGTTTTCACCCCTCGCATTTAATCGCGGCGCTTTCGAGCCTGTGCGAGGATGATGCTGACCAGGGTTGTTTGCATTCAGACAGAAGTGCAGAGCCTGAAGGCGGAAGCGGAAGAGGAAGAGGAGCTAGGTAACGGCTCCCCCCCGACATTGCCTGGGAGGTTCAGGGGCTCTGATGGGGAAGGGTCCACCCATTCCGGCTCCCGGGCACCCTCTGTCATGTCCAGCTGCCCTTGCTCCGCACCCGCTTTCTCTGGCAGGGGGGCGCCCTCGCGCCTGCTGGGCAGGCCGAACCAGTCCTGCTCCCCCGCCCTTGCCGGCTGCCTCGCCATCAGAGGGAGGGCAGGTGAACCGGCGCTTCCAAGGGCACCCGGCGCCCCCCCTTGGGCTCGCCCGTCCCCACCGCCCTCTGGAGAGCTCAGAAGGTTCGGCTCGGTGCCTCCCACGAGGAGCCCCGCTGTGCGGTGCCTGCGAGTGGGGCTGGCTGAAGCAGCCATGCTGCCCCGCTCGGCCCGCCCGCCCACCCGCCTCCAGGGGCATCGTGTGGCCCCCAGGGGCCCGGCTGAGCCCTGCCCTTGCCGGCTGCCAGTGCAGTCCCAGAGCCGAGCGCGCATGGCCGCGTCTCGCATGGTTCCTCTCCCTTCGCAGAGGTCAGCCTGGTGGATCCGGATGAAGATGAGCCCTGCGACGTGCAGTCCAGCTCTGACAACAACCCAGAAGAGATGTAAGTTCCCACAAAGCGTGGTGCGGGAGCCGGGGCCGCCCAGTCTTCCTGGGCGCCCGGCCCGGCCCGCCAGGGAGGCTGGCGGGGCCCTGGCCTTCTTGCCTGCAGCTCTCTTCGCTGGCCAGCAGCCACTGGGGGCAGCTGGAAAGGCTGAATGACCCTTCGCACGTTCTGTCACCGTCCCTTCCTTTTGCCCGGCCCATCGCCAATGGATTTTGGCTCCTGGGCCGAAAAAGCTTCCTTGAAATTGAATCCGGCCCTTGGGCTGAAGGAGCTCCCCCACTCCTGCCCCGGGCCACAGCACCTTGGGGCAGCCCTGAGATCCAAGGGCTAAGGCAAGCATAGAAACCGAGTGAGGCAGAAGGGGCCTCCCGGGCCATCTAGGCTGCCCCCTGGCTCCAGCCGGCTCCACTCTTGCAATCCCCAACATGTGGTTGTCCAGTTTTCCTTGAACACCCTCACTGATGGGGCCTCCACCACCTCCCTTGGAAGCCCCTTCCATATCCTGGGGGTCCTAACCATCAGGAGGCACTTCTGGCATCCAACCAAAAATCTGGTGCCTTGAGCTTTGCGAGGGTTGCAAGGGACTCTGTTTCCATGGAGAGGTGGTGCAGCTTCTTGAAGACTCACGCAACTTTAACGTCAATGGTGAAGCAGTTGAAACTGTGAAAGATTCTTATGCCTCAGCTCAGTTGTTGATGTAAATGGAGGCTGTGGCCAAGAAATTCAAAGAACGCCGAGACTTGGAAGGGAAGCAGTTAGGGAACTTGAAAAAAATGTTGAGTGGAAGGTTGCTTTGGTGGAAACTGAGGCCAAGTCATCCACACCGTTGCTTTCCCCAACACCGTGGAACGGTGTGGGAGCTCGGACAGTGAGCAAAGCCGATGAAAAGAAAACAGGCACATCTGAAACGCGGTGCTGGAGGAGAGCTTTGCAAAGACCCCGAAACGACAGAAAGATGAACGAGGGACTCCTGGATCAGATCCAGGCGGGACTTTCCCTGGAAGCGACAGCGGCAGAGTGGAGGCTCTCGTGCTTGGGACATGTCACGGGAGGGCAGGACTGGCTGAGGAAGACGGTCATGCGTGGGAGAGGCAGAGGAAGACGAGGGAGACCAAGCATGAGATGAACGGGCTTCAGGAAAGCCGCAGCCTGGAATGCGGAAGCGCCTGGTGGGACGCTTTGCTGGGCGCCCGTTCGTGGTGTCCGTGGCAGCGGCCACACATGCTTTGGCGTGGCGTTGCTCGCTCTCTCTCACGAGTCACGTTGAGGCGCATGTAGATGCGCCCATGTGCGGGGTGGGGAGACTGGAGGCAGTTTGGGCCGAGGGAAATGCAGTGCCGGCGGTGCAGATAAGGAGCGTCTCTTTCCTTCAAGGCTTTCCAGTGGTGGCAGGAACGTGTTTGCTTGGCTGAGGGAAGGCTTTGGAAAAATGATGCCGCAACAGCCGGAGAGCCCGCAGAGGCCCGCGGTGAGTGCGTTGGGGGAGGGCTGTGCCTGTCCTTTTGAGCGATGCTTGGAGAAACTGCAAAAGCCCGTGCGGGGTTGCCCGAATCCTGCACCGTGGGTGTTTCTGGGCAGCACAGGTGGGTTTGTTTGTGGGTGCTCCAGTTTTGCTTTGAGGAGAAAAGCGCTTGCTGGCTTGTATGTTCCAGCGCAGCCCCAGGGGAGGGCAGAGGACGCAGGCGCCGGCCGGCTCGGTGTGCCACCCAGCACCGCCAAGGCTGCCTCGCCTCCTCCGGTGGCGTTCCCACGGGTGTCAGCATGGGACAGAGTGGGAGGGAAGCCTGGCAAATGTGGGAGCGCTCAGTTCCACTCCGCCGGGGGAAGTAGCCCCTGTTGGCATGTGTTCTAGGCAGCCCCCTCATCCGTGTCTCTTGGCTGTGCTTGAGCCTCAGCACCCGGGCTGGATGCATCCCTCCAGGGGGACCAGCCAGCCCTCCAGTTCCCCAAGAGACAGGCTTTCCTGCCTCGGCATCCACGGTTGGCAGCTGCCGCATTCGTGCCGCTTCCCTGCCCCTCCGGATGGGCCAAAGTGCCTCTCCAGAGGCTGGGCGGCTGAAGGAACAGTGTCAAGCCGCTGAATGGGGGCGTTTCTGGAAAGCCCCCCCCCCACAGCTGCTCCGAAATGGGGCCGGTGGGCGGCTGCAGGTTCCCCTCACAGCTCACTGTGTGTTCTCTGCATTTCTGCCCCAGGACGGGACGCCGGAAGGGCCGGCGGCTGAGCAGGGTAAGTGACGGCGCACAGGGGGGCAACCTGGCGTGGGCGCCACCCCGCAAGCGGCTCAGCCCTCCCGCTTTGCAGCCAGCCGCTGCCTTTCTTTCATGGTGGCTGGGGCTGAACTCGGTCTCTCGCCTTGCAGGCGGTGGCGAGCTCAAGCGCCTGGTTCGGCGGGGGGCTCATGCCCAGCCGCTGCGTCGGATGAGGCTTTGGCCCCTGGCCTTCCTCCTGCGGCAGCCATGTTGTGCCAGTGCCCACACCGGTTTCTGCTGAGCCCAGCTGCCCCCCAGGGGTGGGGCGGTGGGGCCACGGGGCTTGCTCCATTGGGCGGCCTGTGGTCTGCCAGCGGGAGCATGTGCCCCGCAGGGCTCTCCCAGGGAGGGAGCGCGGCTTCCCCCTGCTCAAAGCACAGTACAAAGCGGGGGCGGGGGGGACCTTGCGGGAGTCCTTGCCAGAGGAATCGATGCCGTGCAGTGATGACGACGACCGCGATGACGAGTCTTCACCGAGTTACCAGCCCTTGGACTTGAGGCGCTTTGGTTTCAAAATTTGCATGCGGATTTTAAAAGATCAAGAGTTTTGCTGGCCACCTTTGAAACGTTCACTTGAAAAGTAGACTCTGCCTTCTGTTTCGGTGGTCCCTGCCTTTCCCAAGAGAAGGCCCCTTTAGAAAGAGTAAAGATCAAAAACTTCATTCAGATAAATTGCCTTCTCTGCTCTGGCTTTCCTCCCTGCTAGCCAACGCCAAAAGGGACCGCCAAGAAATGCTTGAGGGGAGGGAGTTCCCGGGCAGCCCCCACAGCTCTTCTGAGACCAAATGTGGCAGTGCTGCGGACGGCCAGCCTGGCTTCGGCATCTCCCTCTTTCCCCGAACGCTCGGAGGCGACGGTGGCAGGTAAGGGTGCGTGGCCCCGGTCTGCAAGGCCGTGAGGCTTCCCATGGCCAGGGGCAGCGCGAGTGTTCGCACGTGCCCAGAGTAGGGCCTGCTGCTCTGGGATGGTTTCTGGTGGGAGAGGAGGGGCAGCAGCCGTGGCTTCCTGCCGCTAGCTAGGCGATCTGCGGTGCAGGTCCCGGGTGGCGGCTGCCCCTCGTTCTCCCACGGGGAGGAACTTGTTGCAGTGCCATGGACCGTGGCCCAGCCGCTCTTGGGGTCCTGGCCACGCTGGAAGGAAAGGAGGCACGGGGGCCCTGTGCCCCCCACGAGCATTTCTGCAAAGGGTTCCTCTCCTCGAAGTGGGGCTTCAGAGGCAGTTTCTGTTCTGTCCAACCGGCCAGGAAGGCTGGGGGAGGCCTTGGCCCCGCGGAGCAGGAGCCTTCTGCGGAGAGGGCTGGATTCCTTCCCGGGGGAGCTGGAGGGGTGCAGAGGTGGCGCTCATGGGACTTCTCTGACCCACCAACAGGCTGTTTGAGCGGCTCGTTCAGGGGCTGGAGAAAGCCATGCCACAACCCGCGGCTCGGCCAAGACCAGATGGGCAGGTAAGGGCGGCTGGCTGGGGCCCTTTGTGCACAGCAGTGACCGAGGGGTGATGCAGCCGCCTTCGGGGGCCCCAGGAGGACGAAAGGGGGGCTCTGGAGTACATGGCGTGCTGGTGGGCATCTGGCTGCCCCGCCATGGGCTCACCTGTTGAGAGGGCTCACCTGTTGCGAGGATGGAGCAGCTACACCTGGCGCATTATTTGGGAGCCCTCGGAATAGACAGAGGAGAGACGAGGGCTGGCGTTTAATACCCCGCTTGGTGCTGTTTCTCTTCCCAGGAGAGCCCGGAGGCAGGAGACCGGGGCGTTGGGCAAGAGCGTAAGTCTTGCATTGTTTCCTGCGCCGCCGTTTCTCGAGGCAGCCTTTGTTCTCCTGCTGTTGTCAGCAGCCTTGTTGCTTGTTGTTATTTGCAGTGGCACGGCTCCATTAATGCAGGCTATTTTTAACGCAGCTGAGTAGCTCAGGGAACTTTTGGCCTCTGTTAGAAGGAGGGTCTGTGAAAAGAATGGACTGGGACTAGGAAAGGGACACTGTTTCCTCGGCCCGCCAATGAATGCACATTCCCCACGTTACACATTTTCAAACCATTGCATGAACCAAAATTCGCCTTCTGCAAGCCACGCTTCTCGCAGTTTTGCAGTGGAGTTCGACAACCAAAAAAACATTCAAAGAGCTGTATTTTAGGGTTAATCATGTTTACCGGGTGGATCGCATTAGGAAAATAGCTTGCAAAAGCAGGTATGTTAGGGAGTCAATCGTACAAAAAGGCATGTTTTATGAGAAATGTGCCCCCAGACGCTTCTGAATTCTCAAGTGAACTTTTTTAAAAGTTCTCAAAGTTCGGGATGAACAAAACCGAAGACGGGCTAAACAAGAAATGGGCGAGACCTGAAGCCAACCGGTTTGTCCTTCTCCCCCTGGGAAGCTTGGGGAGCACAAGGTGCAGCCGTGAGAGGGCAGAGGGGTGTTGGAAGGGGCTGCTGACGTCCGGAGCCTCTCCGTGTGTCTCCCTGTGGGGCTGCGGTTGCTTGCCGTTGACAGTTATGGGCCCCGCCTGTCTGCTGCAGCGACGGCCAAAGCCCGCGTCCCCACCTGTCCAACCTGACCCCTCACTGGCCAGAGGAACCGTCCAGTTAAAAGCTTCCCATTTCGGCCTGCGTCCATTCCAGATGGCATGCAGGACTGCTGCGGCACTGCTGGAAGTCCGGGTGGCCAGACGCCCCACCAGGGGCTTTGGCGTCCGCCTCCGGACGGTTGTCGCGATGCTCCAAAGTCCGGCCCCAGGACAGCAGTGCTGCACTTGCCTGTTTGAGGCGGAAATTTGGGCTGGAGCTCCTTTCGGACCAGTGCCATCTGCCCAGTGCCCCTCCAGATCAGGAAGGGGGGCGCTCTGGGAAGAACCCCCTGGGCATCTGGCGAGTTGTGGCTTTTGAACAGTGCAATTCAAACATGCTGAGACAACAGAGTCCCGCAGATGCCAGGCGTTGCACGAATCGCTTCTGTCCAAGCACGTGATGAATTGTGCTCTCCGCGGCCTGGGTCCAGGGTAGGCGATGCTTCGGGCAGGGCCGTGCCGCACCCTCCCCTGGTCCAGGCCCCCCCCCCACTTAACCGGCGTTCTCCTTTTGTTTCAGGGAGCAAAGGGGCTTAACGCCTCTGAAACAAAGGGGCCCTGAAGATTTTCCCAGGCCAGGCGAGAGCGGGCCGAGTTGGCCGTGCGCGGTGACACGGGGAAGAAAAGGCTCCGCAGATGCTCTTTTCTAGAATGAATAAAGCCCCCCCTTAAGCAGAACCCGGACCTGAGACCGAGTCGGTTTTGTGGGCTAGCGGCACAGGCCAGGCAGCCGTTTCCTGTGGGGAGTCGGCAGCGGGAGGGCGGCAGCCACAGATTGCTTTCCCAGGTCCAGAACGGAGCCCTGCCCTGTGGGACGTGCTCCTGAAGCCTCGTCTGCCGAGTAAAGCCGAGCAGGAGGCCAGAATTAATTCTCCGGGTGGCTGCTTGGGTCCTGAATCCCGCCTGGATTTGCGGCCCTGGGGTTTTAGGCCAGAGGCAGGGCCTGGGCTTGTGAACAGCAGGCTCTGCCCAGTCCCCCGGCCCCTTTGGAGCTGCCGGTCCCCCGAATCCAGCCACGGTTCTCACGGGAGCCGGGGGGGCAGAGGGGCCCCCTGGCAAAGGGCCTCGGGGTGGCCTGGCCTGCAGTGGGCAACGGGGCGAGGAGCTGCCCAAAGCCCAGTTGGCTCCCAGGCGGGATCCCCCTGGTGGCCGGGCAGCTCAGCGCCACCGCTCTCCTGGGGCAAGCAAAAGATGCTCCCAGGCAACCCCGAGCGGGAGGCTGCTGGGGATGCTGGGTCTGAGGCAATCGTCTGGGCTTGCGGACGGCTGGGAAGAGCGTCCCCAAAGGGGCAGGGGAAGGCACGACCCGGGGGACTTGTTGATCGAGGGATCAGGTGGGAAGGGAGAGGCAGGGGAATTGTGGGGAGGCTGAGCAGACACACGCAGATCTCTGGAGACCTCGGGATTTCGCGGATTTTGTGACAGACTCCTGAATGCTGGCATGCGTTTGTGACCCCTTCTGAGAAGCTCTTCTGGAGGAAATCTCACCTCTTTGTCTGAGAAGGATGGAGAAGCGTATTGGCACCTCTGAAGATGTGGATGCTCCTCAGAGGAAGGAGGCAGCGAAAGGAAAAGGGGAGATAAATGCTCCTGCAGGTGCTCCTGCAGGGAGATAAATGCAATAAAACAGATCAATCTGAAGAAAGGCTTGCTTGCTTGCTTGCTTGCTTGCTTGCTTGCATTTTTATACTGCCCAATAGCCAAAGCCCTCTGTGTGGGTCCTTTAAAATCATAAACTGCAGTATAAAAATGTAAATGGTTAAAATAAAAATGTAATATGGTTGAAACGGGTAAAACAGAAGGAGAAACCAAAGAAAGAGCAGCAGTGATCAAAACTTTTCAGTGCAGGGTGGGATTAAATCAGGTCAGCACTCAGATTCTGAAGGGAGCTTCGTCGCTCACGCTCTCAGGCCCTGTGGGTTCTCTGGGGGTCCCGGCAGCTTCCGAAGCCCTCGGCCAGGCCCCCTTCCTGGAGAACTGGGCTGCCCCTGCACGGGGGCCCCCTTCCGGCCAGCTGCTGTGTCCAGGCGGCGGGTCTGGGGGCTCCTGCCCTGCGGCACAGCCCCGGTGGGCTCCGCTTGGCCCCCTGCTTTCAACACCTACGTGCAACCGCCGGGAGAGCCCCTCCAGCCGAGGTGAGGTCAGGACGCCGGCGCCCCCCAGCCCTGCCCCTCGTCTCAGGACCTCGGGGTGAGGCAGCCCCCACCCCCGGGCGGCGCCTGGGCTTGGACGTGTGCCGGCCAGCTGCGGCTCCACCGAGAAAGGGCGGAGGGGCTGTTGGTGAGTCTGCCGGGGGCACTTCGGCCTGCCCTGGTGGGGGCTGTGCTCCCCCAAAGGGCCCGGCTCGGGCCTTGGGGCGCTCCTGCGCCCCGAGCCGTTGCGGCAGCGCCCTCCGTGGCGCCGGGATCGCCTCCCGTGTGCCACACGGGCAGCCTTGGTGGGCGGGCCGGACCCCGCAGCTCGGCCCAGGCAGGCACCTGCTGGCGGGGAGAGGCGCTCGTGGCCGCAGCCACCCTCCCTGGCCCTTCTCCTTGTTCGCCCCGTGACGAATTACTGCACAGGGCCGGGTTGCGGCTCGTCCTCCGGACAAGGCAGGCACAGCAGGGCATGGACCCAGCGAAGGCTCATTGCAAGGGTGCCAGGAGGTTAGAGAACTGCATTTGTAATTGGTTTGGTGGATGTCCAGTATCCTCAGGTGCTCGAGGCAAAGTTCGTGGCCCTCCCCAGCAGCCCTCTTCTTTACAACGGCCCGTGTCAGGCTGAAGCACAGTGCTGAGTTCACGCCTTGAGCTCACTGGCTGAGTGGGGGTTTTCCCAGAAGAGGCTTCTGAAAGTCTATCAGGCTCAAGCTGCTAGTCCTCATTGGCCACTGCCAGAAGCGAGGCTTGTGAGGGTGCCAGGAAGGTGAGCGCCAGCAGGGGCAGGCGCATTAGACACTTCCAGCCTTTCTGGAGAAGCTCTCGGGGGCCTCAGCCTGGTGGTGCAGGGGAACAAAGATGGCCAAAATTCCCGAGTAACTAAGCCTGGGGGAGAGATTTTCCTGACGGAAAAAATGGTTCCTCGCCACATTTAGCCTGCGCTTCAGTCTGTCTGCATTGTTGATGAAATAAGTGTAATTATGCCGAATTACTGGGGCAGGTGTTGAGATGCTAATTGAGGCGGGAAAGCTCTCTTGCCTGGGGTGTGCAGAGGGCTTTTGCAAAGGGGTATGATGCTGACCTTGGCTTTCATGCTCGAAAAAATGAAAGGAACTTCCCTGCCCGTCAAGGCTAGCAAAAACGATGCTGAAAGCTCTTTTCCCTCCCCTGCCCTGGCTGGAAAGCCCTGCTTGCTGCAGTCGGTGTGAGCAATCCCTCTGTTTCATCTTGCTTTGTTTCTTTCAGTGGATCCCTTTTCCGAGAGGCCGGGGCCTTGGGAATTCCTCGTGGAGGGAGGCGACACAATCCACGCAGAAGTGATGCGCGGGTCCAGAGAGGCCGAGGGCACGCTGGGCTCCCCTCCGAGAGCCCGAGAGCAGTGCGGAGCAGCGCACGGGGAGAAGAGGTATGGGGGCCACGAAGGCCCGAGCGGCACCAGGCAAACCCACTGTGGCTGTTGCCTCCGTGTCGATCGCAACATGGAAAGATGCTTAGAAGATGCCTAATTGGTCTTCCTTAAAAGGCAACGGGCCCTGGGATTTGCAGTTTGCTGCTCATGTTTTCCTGGCTGAAATGCATCTAGGTATTTAGAAATGTATGACCTGCTTTTCAGCCCCAGCAGGACTCCCAAAGCAATGTCTAAGTGGAACTTAAAACAATTTAAAAGCATAATTTTGACAACAAATCTGACACGATTTGAAAACTCAGGAAAGCCCCTTTGAAACCTTTAAAATTAACTGGCCAACAAAGCAGGAGAGATGCTTAAAAACAGGCTGTTGAGCTTGTGTGCCAAAACTGCGAAAGGGCCATGGGATCCTGGCGCTTCTAAAGGCACCCCTAAGGGTGACCGCAGGAGGGGCGGCCCTGCTCCTGCTGCGGGGAAGCTCCAGCGGAGGGTGGCCCACGGGGGAAGGCCTTCTCTTTCCCCCCAGCTTGACCTTTCCTGAAGACAGTGCTGCAAAAGGGGACCCTGCGTGGCACGGCTGAGAAGGCGGCATTCGGCTGCAAAGCGCAAGGTGTCCTCGGGCAGCATTTTTTACAGTGCCGCCGCTGCCAGGATGCCTCCTGGAGGGGCACCGTGGTGGCCTGGGAAGCCCTCCGACAGGCTGTGGCAGGGCCCATGCGTCTGCCATTGGCCACGCTGATGGCACGGCCCGCCAATCGTTGGCGGTGCTTAGCAACCGGTCTGAGTCTCCTAGTGACCTCCTTCCTCCCTAGCAACTGCTCTGCTTCCCCTGGCAACAGCATCCCTTGGGCCGCTCAACACTTCTCTGCTGCAAGGAAGGGGGGGGGCAGGGGTGCTCGTGCCGGGGGAGCCATCTGTGGTGGCTCAATCCGATTAGCAGGATTTGCATATCATCAGGAGACTACCCACCCCTCCAAAAAAGCCCTAAGGAAGAGTCCGAAATCTCGATGTGGTTGCAGATCGTCTGAAAAATAGGTACGCTTGCGAACCGGATGTAAGAGCGGCAAGTTTTGCGATGCCCATGAAGGAAGCGCGATGTGGGTGGGTGAGTGTGCAGCTGTTTTCTCTTGCAGAATGATTCTGCTGAGCCCAGCGGCAAATACGGGATTTCCGCAAGATTAAGGCGCGGCCGGCATCTCCGGCCGGGCTGAGGCAAGCGGTGCGCGAACTCCTTTAAGAGTCTTTTGGTACAGCTGAGCGAGTTGGAACAAGCAACGCGTTTGCCAAATTATTCTGCTGATGGAGCAAAGTCGTGGGCATGAAGCGTTTGGCTCGTCTCAGTTAGCGTGGCTGGCTTTCTTGCAAACGTTTTTTGGGTGGAACTGATGGGAAGCAGGCCTTCAACCGAGAATCTCCTCCGTGCCGTTGCAAGGCGGCGTCCCTTGCAATTTGGAAGAGCGGGAGGCAAACAGCTAGAAGGTTTGGGCCGTGGAAGATGGATCTGCGGTTTGTCTGAAGAGGGAACCCTGGGGGTGCTGCTTTCCCCATCAACTCGGGGTCTTTCTGTCGGGATCCTGTGCCAGGCATCCGCTTTCCAGCCCCGCCAGGTGGCCCTGACACCTCCTAGGTAAAAGGCTCTCACCTGGGCATATTGGCTTGGGAGAAGAAGGTCCTTTTCCTGTTTCTCCGGAGCACCTTCAAACGGTCTTCAATGGGACAGGCGGAAATATATTTCGGTGCTTGGGTCCTTTGGGGTGGCAGAGGCTTTTTCTTGGAAGGAGTCCCGTGAGAGGGCACAAATGTGCCAGTGACGGGAGTTTGGGCCCAGGCGGGCAGTTCCCCTTTCCCCTTTCTCATTTCTGAGCTCTTGTTACATTTTTCCCAATCCCAGCAACCTGTAACTTTTCTGATTACATTTCCTAAACAAAAAAACTGTCCTTCAGTTTTTGCCATTTGAGTTGGGGGGCAAAAGTGACAGAACACAGAAATGTGACAACATAGGAGATGCATGTATTTGTTTACTGCAAATATAAGAACAGGCCCATACACTTTACAGGGTCAGCTTTTTGAAATTAATTGTATGCAACACAGCAGAGCTTCTCACAGATGCCAAGATGGTATCACACTACGCCAAGAAGCAGACTTGAACCTGAATGAAGGCGTCAGAAGGTTTTGGCTTCACTTTCTGCCTGCAGTTGCTTGCTTGCCTCCCAGACGAAGCGAAGACGTTGAGGAGGGTCTGGAGTGTCCTCTCCCACTGGAGGGATGGGGGTCCCCGGCTGCTGACACTCCTGCCTCTGTTTCCCCAGCAGGAGCCCCTCTGATGGGAGCCCCGCTGCAGTAAGCGCTCCAGGCAAGGTACAAGCGGTGGGCATCTCCTCGGTTCCTTTCTTACAGGTTGGTCAGTCATTTATTTATTTTATGCATACAATCTGTTCTTAGGAAAGGTGTGCTTCACCTTTGGGCCTCAGAGAAAGCCCCTGAGCTCGCTCACATTGGGCCAATTAACCATGAATTACCAATTAACCGATCAACATGAAAGGAAACCCCTGAGCAGTTGAGCCGAATAACTGCCAAATGGCTCAGCTGAACTCCGATGCGCGATGGAATCCGGGCATCCTTGCAGTCCCCCTGCGTGTGGCCATTCGGTGGCGCCGAATGCGCAGGAGGGGACTCTGCAGCCTGCGGCCACTGCTGGAAAGTCCTGGCTTTGAGTCCCCGCCAGCCATACTTGCCTCCAAGGTTGAAATTTGTCTTACGCTCTTCCCGCCCCGTCCCCCCGGGGCCCGGGCTCTTGGGGCTTTCCCAGTTACCATCCAGTAACCTGTGGTGGGAAAACACCTGTATTTGTCTTAGAAATGTTAATTAGAATAAATTGCCTTTTTCCCCCCAATGAAGGCAGAAGAAGCAGGAACCGCTTTTGCTGCATCGAAAGGTACCGTACCTCACGCAGCGTGTGCGGGACGGGGGGCGGGTGGCCCCATCCTCCACCACCAAGCACAGAGGGGCGGCTGGCCTAGTCCAGGGCAGGTTCTGCAGGCCCACAGCTCTTTGTGCGAACGCACAGAAACAAAACCTGCAGCGTTTTACAGAAGTGTCGCCTCGCGCGACCTCCAGCGGCCGCACGGCACCAAGTTACACGCAGCCCACCCAGTGCTCCAGTTCAGTCAGCCCAGTACTGGCATCCCCCAGATGTTTTGGACTACAGTTCCCATACCCTGGGCACTGGCTATGCTGGCTGGGGCAGATTGGGGTGGTCGTCCAAGCCTCGGGTGCGGGGGACATGTTGGAGAAGACTCTGTCCGAGACCGTGCTTGTGGAAGGGCTTGCAGCTTCGCGGACTCCCTGGGGAAGCTCTCCGAAGCACCCCAGACGTGGCGCTGTCTGCTCGCCCCCCCCATGCTTCCCCCCTGGCGATCACGTCCCCACCAGCCTCCCTCGCCCGGAATCGTCTGGGACGCGGCCGCACGTCTTTCTCACCGTCCGCCATGTTCTCTCGTTGCAGCTTCAAGCGTCTGCCCGGCGGCCTAGCACCATGTCCAAGCGCAACCGAGACGTCGAGCTGGTCCGCCTGGTGCACGAGAACCCCCCCGGCTCGCCAAGCGCCCCCCTCTCCCGCCACAGCGTAGCTGAGCAGCTGCCCAACGTCCCCAGCTCCCACCCCGCCCCCGCTTCCCGCATCCCCGTCCTCACGGCCCGAAAGCACAAGGCTGGTGTGGCGAACTCGAGCTTTCTGAAGGAGGACGGGCCCCTCTCGCTGGCCGGGGGTAACGCAGCCTCGCCGCGCCTTCGTGCCTGCAGCTTTGCGTGTGCACCTCCTCTCTCTCTGCCCACTCCTGTATCTTTGGCGTTTGTTGCAAATTAGTATTTCCAGGACTGATAACAAGTCCCCCAGAGAAGGACCCCCTGTGGCTAGGAAAAAACCCCGCAAAAGCGCTTCAGAGCCCAGCAGGACAAAGGCAATTTGCCCCTGAGTTGTAACAGCAACCAGACTTTGATTTTATGTACTCATGCAATTTGGGCACAATGTGTTTTGAATTGTGTGGAAATAATACGCACATTGGATAGAAGCTGTGCTTAGAGAGATGGCTGAGTTTTCCTGCCAAAAGCACAATTTCAGCAGAGTTTTGATCTGCTGAACAGCTTCTTCGTCTTCCTGGTGGAAGACGCTCCCTTGTTAGTGCTTCTCCAAGGTCAGAGCCGATAGCAGCAGTGCTCCAGGTTTGATTTGGCTTGTGTCTTTTTCTGCTTCATTTCTTGCGTTTCCTTGCTCAAGGAAGGTCTGCCAGAGTGAACATCCCACAGGGGGAGGCGAAAGGCGCCTCGACGGGGCTGCCCATACTGGCTCGCCGTGCCCAGCCGTCTCCTCAGACCAAATCCCAGGCTCTCTCTGTCGCAGCGCTGCCCACGGGCCCCAAGAGGTATCAAGGCCTACATGCTGCCCATCTGCCCTCTTGCCCCTATGCTGGGGGCCCTGGACCTCAGCCCCAGTGGCCAGAGCTGCCCAAATGTCCGTGCCCCCTCCCCAGCCGCTCCCCAGCTTGGGCTCCTGCCAGCTTTTCCCCCGTTCTGGAAGCTTCAAATGCTTCCCCCAGGGTTAGTTGCCAGCGGGGAAAGGGTTAAGCCAAAGCAAGCTGGTGTTTAGGCCCCACTCCTTTACCATAGCCCCACCCACCCCAAATGCGGGGCGGGGGGGGCAAAACGGGACTCTGGACTCTGGCCAAAGGCGGTTCAGCGCTGAGGGGGGTTTGCTGGAAGGGGTTTCATCCGCTGCTCCCATTGAGCAGCCGTCACTTTTGCATTTCCGGGCAGAAAGTCCCTTTGCACTTCGGGTTGCCGTGAGTAATTTGGGGGCGTGCGGCATCGCTTCGGCGTCGGCCAAGTCCTCCATCGTGTTTCCCCCGTGTAACATTCGCTGAGCCATCCGGTGCCTCAGGGCCGTGGCTGGGCAGGCCACCCTTCCGACGGAGCAGTGGCGCCGATCACTCTCCCGGGGCACTGGGTGGAGGCCTTGCCTTGTCACGGGGAACGAGGCAGGAGGACAGCCGCACGGGGGAACGGCAGCATCCCCCCAGCTGGACCGTTTCCCCTCAGACTCTTTCTCCCTCTTAGGAGGAGGCCCTCCCCGCAAGAGGAGGGCACAGAGGAGCTGAAGGGGCCCTCGCCAAGCCAGTCTCCGATCACGGCGTGGCCGGACCAGCCCAGCCCAGGAAGAAATGTGCAGATGGGGTGCAGTACTCAGCCGCTTCTTTTGTGGATGCTGGGGAGCCTGCCCTTCCTTCAGGGCAGCACCCGGCGGGTTTTCCATTTCCCCCTTGCATGATTAGGCGATGGGGCCGGTCTCAACTCTGGGGGGGGGGGGCAGGAAAAGGGAACCTGTTCAGAAGTGGAGGATCCCCCCAGAGTCCTAAGCGAAGTCTGTGCGCTTTGGCAATATGTCAAAAGATTCCTCAAATGCCACATCAGTGTGGACAAAACCTTCCTTCCTCTCATACCCTTCCAAAGGTGGCAGGGGGGAAGCATGGGCGAGTTCTCACTGAGGGCATGGGGCACTGCCTACCCTCCCATCTGCCAGACCCTCCCCCCCATGGGGCTTCTTTACCATGCTGCCACACGCTGTGCTCTGCCCGCCACCTCCCTTGCCGCCTCATTGCCCTTGGCTCTGCACATATGCATGGCCCCGTCCTTGCATACAGTTAGGCCAGGCAAAGCCAGTCAGGAAGCACAGACAGCAGCACCAGTCACTAGTTGGCCAGGACCTTCCGCCTCAGCCTGAGTGCACTGAAACTGGGGCAGGCCAAGGTGGAGCCACATGTGGGGGGTGGGGAAGCTCCTCCTCAGGAAATGTCGCAAGGTGCTTTGAGAAGCTAAGAATTCAGGGGGCTCCTCAAAGACTGAATCCCCCACCTTTACAGTGGAAGGATCTCATGGGGAAGATGCTCCCATGGCCAGGGAAAGGGACTGCCGGTTTGCAGGTGCTCTCTGTAAACTGGGGGAAACTCTGCCAGGTGACCCCATGGACTCGACCTCACCTCCAGCGGTTCTCCAGCCACTTGTCCCTTAATCTGTACTTACGACACCCCTTCCTATGCCCCAGGTGCAAGACCTTGCACTTATCCACATTGAACGCCATCCTGTTGTCTCCTGCCCACTTCCATAGTCCGTCCAGGTCCTTTTGGATCTGGAGTACCTGCTCCTCAGTTGTGGCCACTGCCCCAGTTTTAGTATTGTCTGCAAATTTGATCAGCCGACTGTTCACCCCTTCTTCCATGTCATTGATGAAAAGATTAAACAGGATCAGCCCCAGGACAGAGCCCTGGGGGGCCCCGCTTGTCACTGGCCACCATCCCGATGATTCCCCGCTAATGGTTACCCTCTGCTTTCGGTCAGTCAACCATGCTCTAATCCACCTGACAGTGCTTTGGTCTGTCCCAAAACTCCTCAGTTTCTCCACCAGGATATCATGGGGCACTTTGTCAAAGGCCCTGCTGAAATCCAGGTATACCACATCCACTGCATCCCCTCCATCTAGCCATCGCGAAACCTTGTCATAGAATCCCACAAGGTGAACATGGAACATTTTCTATTTAAAGAAAATGTTTGCTCATAAAAGGGAAGTCTTTTCTCCACTGTAGGGAAAATGGCAAAGGGAGGCTCTCCATTCCCGCAAACCCACAAGGGAGCTTGTCCTGTGTAAGGGAAAGCGCAACAGGGCAAACCACGGAGGTGGCTCAGGGAAGCCCAACCCTCCACCTCCAAAGTGGCACCCCCTCTCCCCCCGTGGCCAGCTGCTTGCCACCGGGACCACCCCAGGGCACTCCTTGCAACTTTCCAAAAAAGATGGGAAGGACCCAGGGAAATGTGGGGCAGCTGCCCCTCTCTCCCTTTCTTGCCCGCGCCCGTGGTCTTCCCTCCCCTCTGCCCCGTGGCCTTGCCCGCTGCCCCTCCGTCCCGGGACCCCCCTCACAGCCTCCTCCCAATTCCAGCTCGCCTGTGACTCCCCGGGCCCCCGTGCGGCCACTCCTGGGCGGCCACATCCCCTGGAGAGGGTGGTGTCCCCAGCCGCTGCTCGCAGGGGTGTGGCTGGGTCCGGGCCCCGGTGGCACCGAGCCTGGCGGCTGCGACACCACACGGCATCAGCGCCGGCTGGTTTCCCCACAGGGTGCCGGAGCGCAGCGGCTCCGCCGCAAGCCAAAGCAGCACTGTCATCCACGAGCGCCTGCAGGAGCTGGTGCGGCTCTTCAGGGACCGGACGGAGAAGGTGAAGGAGAAGCTGATCGACCCGGATGCCTCCTCTGACGACGAAAGCCCCGTGCCGTGTGCGTGAGCGCGGCGCCGGCTCCCCTTCGCCAGGCCGGCTGCGCCCCATTTGGGAATCCCTCCTCCGCTCGCTTTCTCCCTGCCCTTCCTTCCTGGGGGGAACCATCGCCCGCCGGTGCCCGTCACGTGCCTCCTGTTTCCCCTGCTGGTGCAAGAAGCGTGTAAAAGCCACTTTTTCCGCACCGTGGCCGCCTCACAGCCTCCCACCTGTGGGGACCCCGGAGCAAAGTTCCCACCGGTGTCCCCTTCAGCCTCATCAACCCAAGGCTGCATCTTCCTTCGTGGAGTCGACCCTTCCCATTCTTGGGCTTCCTCTTCTCCTGCCTTCGACTTTCCGAGCAGGAGCAGGAGCGTCTCCTCCAGGGAGTTTTGCCTTCTCAGAAGCACGCCTTGCTTCCAGGGAGGCCTCTAGCTTGATTCGATCTAGGACCACTGTTCATCCTTTTGCCCCCCCACCCCCCCGTGATGCACCCTGCTGGGATGAGACTAGAACGCCTGGCCCCTCCACGCACCTGCCAGAAGGGGGGGCCGCTGGAGCCCAGGCAGGGCGCCCACTCGGCTGAACCGTCCATCTGCGTGTCTTCTCAGCACCTCCCAGGGAGAGCCCTCCAGAGGGAAAGGGGGAAGAGGCTGAGCAGGAGGCCGTGCAGAAGCGCCGCGGGAAATTCAGGTCGCGCCTGTTGCTCTGCCAAGTGAAGAATTACCGCTTCCCCAGCAGCATCGATCCCCTCACCAGTAAGTCCTGGGGACTTGCTGGAAAGACACTGGGACCCGGGGCAGGCTCTGCAACCTGGCGCCCACCAGGCACTCTGAAGGTCAGCCAGTACTCCTGACCACCAGCTTGCTGGGTGGGGTTGATGGGAGTGGAAATCCAGAGTGCCTGGCTTGCCAATCATTTGTAACCAGGCATAGCTTATTTTGCACGTGTTTCCAGAGACAACCTTCTGGTTGCCTTTGAGCTTTTCCGATTGTTGTTTATGAGAAGGAGAACTCGGACAAACAGGTTCTGTAAAGTGAAGCGCAGGTGATGTAGAACGGTATTGCAAATGGATTTAGGCAAAGCCTTCTGTGCAAAATGACCCTGGGACTGCATTCCGAGACCTGCTTCCTTGTACCCAGCTTCAGATGCATTTCTCCTGATTCAGCCATTCTGTGCGAGTTCTGCACGGTGCTCTCCAGTACCCTGGAAAAGTGCCGGCTGGGCAGGACCCCTGAGTTCTGGGCTGCGTCTCTGGCTCTGGGACCTCCATCCCGCAGGACTGCCTCTGGTCTTCCGCCGATGTCCCCAAAGCAGCTCAGGCAGTAAGCGCGTCACACGTCGTGAGCGCAGGCGCCTGAGTCTTCGCTCGCCTTCCCCCCTAGGCCTGACGTACGTGTCCTGGCTGCTCCTCGTGGTCTTGGCATGGAGCTGGAATTGCTGGCTGATCCCAGTCCGCTGGGCATTCCCGTACCAGACGCCGGCCAACGTCCACTGCTGGATGGCGGTGGACTACTTCTGCGACCTCATCTACCTTCTGGACATCACCCTCTTCCAGGTCCGGCTGCAGTTCGTCCAAGGAGGAGACCTCATAGTAAGTGGCCCCCGGGGGCCCGGAGCGGGCCTGCCTCGCGCTCCAGCTGCTTGCCCCTCTGGGCCAGGTGGTGACTGGGACATGGGTCTGGAGGAAAGGCCCTTCATCTTTGGGCTGGATTTGAACTGGGCAGCGCCTCAGCAGAGGATGGACACCTGCAACAGCGAATGGCCCGCCAGAAAGCAGGACGCCCGGCTGCTTAGGTGGGGCAGGCATGCCGTGCCCACTTGCAAGCTGAATTTGCCTTCTGCCAGGAAAAAGTGGAAGCCTTTGCGGGCTGAAGAGGAGATGCGGCCGGCATCTCCTTCCGTGGACGGAGCCCCACCCGGCCACACCAGTGCAGTGCCCCCAGCAAAGCCAAGCGAATGCCTTTTGGAAACTAAGCATCCCAAGGGTCGCGCGGAAGCATGGGCACCAGCTCCATTGTGCTGCCCCCTCGCTGCCACTGTCCTGGGGCTTCTGGCTCTAAACGCCGGATGGAGGGGCGGAGAACACACGGTCTTTTCTGTAAAGATAAGGACGTGTCCTTGTCTAGCCAAAGCAGGTGGCAACTTTACAAATTTTGCCACATAAAAAGGCAAAGCCACAGAACAGTGAGGGCATTTGGGAACACTTCATGGAGAAAATCTGTTAACATATATTATGATATATATTATAAATAATGCATGCATTATTAAATCTATTAATAGACTTAATAGAAAAGTCCTACGATGCTTCTGAAGAATAATTGTGGGGCACAAGACAGACCTCCGTCTTCCCAGCCAGGTGGTGCCTGTGGCACATTCTCTCCTGTTTTCTCTTCCAGACGGACAAAAAGGCCATGAGGAAGAACTACCTGAGGTCGCGTCGCTTCAAGGTCTGCAGTTTTTCTTGAGTTATCTTCAAAATAAGTGGGTATCGGGGCTCCAAAATGAAATGCCGCGTCTCTGCAGTTGACCCTTCGCTGCCCCGATCCGGCCCTCGCCCGGATGTGCCGAGCCGCTTGGGGCTCCTCTTTGGAGGATGCCCAGTTGCCTGGCCGGCGTCCCACGAGAGCGGCTGGTGTGCGAAGACGCAGGCCGCCCTCCCCTCCCCGACTGCGTTTGCTCCTTCTCCTGCTTGGAGACAGGTGAGGATGGTGAATTCTGCCACCGGCTCCTCCGTATCTAAGCAGGTTTACACCTCTTTAGCGTTTTCTGTTACTTTGATCTCCTTGGTGGGTTTTCCCAGTTGTCTGGTTTTATGACTGTAAATCTCCGATAAAATCGGCATCACTTGGGGGGCCGATGAACTGCCCCGAGTGAGTGCTGATACCCCCCCCTTCCGGCGACTTATGGCGTCATCCAAGTCCGGAGGACGTGACCAGCTGCGGCCAACACTAAAAGAGGAGAACTGGTTGGCCAGAGCGGCAGGGAAGGCGACTGCCGTGACATCCGTCCCCTCTCTGGTGGTCCCGCCCCGCCGTGGGCAGTGCGTCGCCTCCAGCCGACACCACAAAAGCTGGAGCCCGCCAGCATGGGGCCCACGGCCCAAACCTCAGTCCGAGAAGCAGAGAACGCGCCGTCGCTTGGACAGTCGCCCATCCAGCGTTGCGGCTTTGCAGCCGTTTGTACGTGAAGGCAGGATTCTGCTGCTGGGGGACACAGGGCATTTGCTCTCCCTTCCTCTTGGCACACACAAGTGCAAGGCCGCTCTCCACCCCCCGCGCGTGCTTTCACGCCATGCCTTTCCGCGAGCTCTGCAGAAGAGGCTTGGCCAAGCTGCCCGAGGCAGCAGGAATGTCTCTGGAATCCCCGGAGCCCTCGGAAGGCACCCTGAGACGGTGCGCAGCCGTCTTGGCGTGCGCAGCCCTGCCACTGACCTCCTGGGGGGATCCTGTCTCTCTCGCCAGCTGGACGTGCTCTGCCTGCTTCCACTGGACTTGCTGTACTTCAAGGTGGGCGTGCGCCCCCTCCTGCGCCTGCCCCGCTGCCTGAAGGTACGTCAAGGCGAGCAGCCTTCGCTGTGAGTTGCAGGGGGGGAAGTGAGAGGAAGGCCTGTGCGTCAGCCTTGCTCTCCACAGCGAGGTTTCCCACCAGCTTCCTCCCTCCCCCGCAGTACATGGCCTTCTTCGAGTTTAACAGCCGGCTGGAAGTCATCCTGAGCAAGGCCTACGTGTACAGGTGAGCTGCACCTCTCCGTGGCTGGCGGGAAGGGGTGAAATGTAGCCGGGATGCAGCAGCTCCCTTCCTGGTGCCACTTCTCTTTGCGGAGGCATTTCGCCCAGTTACGGCAGAACGCAGCACGGGGCAGGTACCGCTGACCCTGTCTCAGCCTCCCCGCCATCCCTGTTTCTTGCTGGATCCAGGTTTAAGCACCGGTTTTGATAAGGGATGGTCATCCCCAGGCACAGTGGACAGGGCCTTTTTGGTGGTGACCTTCTGTTGGTGGAATCCTCCTGCAAGGAATACATGCAGTCCCATCTTACGGATCCTGAAGAGGGTCTTATTTCCTAGGCTATTAATTATTTCCTTTCTGAGATAAAATACGATTTCAGTTTTATGTTTTTGTACAGTTGGTCAGTAAGCTGCTCTTGTTTCCGGCCAATGCCCACAGTAACTTTCCAAGAAATAAAAGAAGTACATGTGTTCCATTCATTCCAAGAATTAAAAACCCGAAGATTTGAACTTAAAAACAATAAAGAGCATAGGAACTAAATATGTCGATAGGTTCAATAGATTTAAATATCGTCATGGCAGTGAACTGTCAAAGCTGAAATAATCTTGGCCCAAACTCTTGAGAAACCCTTCGGGTGACATGCGTATCCATGCCTTGCCGCGAATAACGTGCCTTTCTTAAAACCAGACTTAACTATGAGTAGGTTAAAATGGCATCATGAAATTTAGAACATGGCTCGGATCAGAAAGAGATGCTGTCGTTGGGCCCGTCCAGGTCTTTGTCCCAGAGGAACTGATTGATATCCGCCATTAATCGGGGTAGCCAGCTTAGCAATACATCAGCCGGTCGGCATCCGGATGGTGTCTGGCGCCTGGCACTCCGATTTTCTTAGGCTATAATTCCGACCCTGAAAGCACCACTGAAATTGGGGAGGGGGCACAAAAGCGTGGGGCTGGGCAGGCGGCACGAGCACGGGGGGGCCGGGGGGGCTCCCTTGGTCTCCTTCACTCTCCGTCATGGGTTTTCCCACAGCCCTCCATGGGCAACTTCTTGGCAGGGTGCCCTGGGCGGAATGCCTGCAGTGAACTCACCCCTTTCTCTTGTGGCCTTGAGCCATTTCCCTGGGGTCGGGGAAGTGTGGGCACCCGCGCACACGTCCTCTTCTCCTCGGCCTCCCTGCTCCCATCGGACCCAACAATTAAGGCTCATTAGCTTTACAAAGAGCTGCCTCAGCGGAGCTGGAGACTGCTAGAGAAAGGTTTGTTGACATACAGGTGAACTGCTCTTACCTGGGGCTGCGAAAAGGAGCTCCTTGGGGGCATGCTGCGCTCCACCACTTGTGGCCGATCGCCACCAAGGTCATTGGCTAAGCACCACTGGGTCGTTGGAATTCTCTCCGCGGGTGGCGCAGGGACGCGGCTGACCTCTTCCGAAGCACAGCCCTACCAGCTTCCAAAGCACGATCAGGATCAGAACTGGCAGAAGTGCGGGGGTGGGGGGGCTTCTTCACTGAGATGCCAAAGGAGGGCAGGGCAGGCCAAGCAACCTGCGGGGGACGGGTTGGCCAGGGGACAGCCACGCAGAACGCCCGGGACCTTGCAGCATTGCCCGCAGCCCTGTCTCCTTTCTTCCCCCTCTTGCAGAGTTGTCAGGATCACGGCCTACCTGCTCTTCAGCTTGCATGTGAATTCCTGCCTGTATTACTGGGCTTCGGCCTCCCAGGGACTCGGCTCCACCCCGTGGGTCTACAGCGGGGAAGGAAACAGGTACGGGGCTGTGTGCTCTCTGCCTTGGCGGATCCGCGGAAACGAGCCGGCCCACGCAGCTTTCAAATTATCCTTTGTGTTTTCAAAGCTATCTGCGCTGTTATTACTGGGCTGTCAAGACTCTAATCACAATCGGGGGGCTGCCCGATCCGTACAACCTCTTTGAGATCATCTTTCAGTTGCTCAATTACTTCACTGGCGTCTTTGCTTTCTCTGTCATGATTGGACAGGTGAGGAAACGAGGCCCGGCCTCAGGGCACGCTTCAAAACGTTCCTGCTGTTTTTCTTGCTGAACTGTGTATTTCTTCGGAAGGGTCACTTTTATATTTCATACTATTAATACTGAAGCGGATACTATCTTTGGGCAACATCGCACTTCAAGAAAGTTACGGTACAAAATACATCCTGGCTTCCGTGTAAAGAAATGCATGTTAAGAAAGTCAAATGGGTGAAAACATCACATCATGCCTTTTTTGGCATGCTTGTAAATATATTTCAGAGTATGAAAAAGCGTCACAAGCATGGAAATAAGGATCAGAGATTTCCGTAGAACCTTTGATAATGCTGGCTTATGTTTCAGAAAACTGAGAATTTCCCAGCCTGGCAACATTAAGACCCAGGCTTCCTCTAGAGCCCCTAGTCCGGTGGTGGCAACCCAAGGCGTGTGCCGCAGCGGGCACACCGAGCCCCCTGTGCCGGCACGCGAGCCAAGGCGCCCCAGCATCGCCCCAGCAGCCGAGCATCGGATAACAGCGCACATGGGGCCATGCGCAGGCTCGGAAAGGAGCAGCGGCGCCAGGCGATGACGTCACGAGCCACGACTCATCCGAGCTCTCGCATGGCCGGTCAGCGTGCTGCCAAGGATATATGTGTGTGTGTACACACACACACATACACACACTTGGAGTGGCTGTGAGTTGTTTTTTCTAAACGAAAACCGCAGTTTTCAGGTTTTATTGTAGCGTTTGCACTTTGCAATAAATAAGTGGATTTTGGGTTGCAGTTTGGGCACTCGGTCTCTAAAAAGTTCACCATCACTGGGTTAGGGTTAGAAAAACGAGGTGTCCTGACATGATTTTGATGGCTGGAATGTGTTTAGAATGGGCAGAAATGATGAGCTGTGCAGCAAAAGCTACTCAAGGACGGCTTTTTCAATATCGCCCCTTTCAGTGGTATTTTACCCCATATTAGGGCTAGGGCAGTGGTGGCGAACCTTTGGCCCGTGCGCCACGGCGGTCACACAGAGCCCTCTCTGACAGCACATGAGCCAAGTCGCCCCAGCAGCTGAGCTTTGCATAACAGCGCATGTCGGGGCCATGCGCACGCTCAGAAAGTAGTGGCGCCAGGCGATGGCATCACGAACCACAACTCATTAGCCGCGGCTCGTCCAGGCTTCCGCACGGCCGGTCAGCGTGCTTCAGAGGATATATATATATATATTTGCTTGGACTGGCTGTGAGTTGTGTTTTCTAAACTAAAACCTCAGTTTTCAGGTTTTATTGCAGTGTTGGCACTTGGCGATAAATAAGTGGGTTTTGGGTTGCAGCTTGGGCACTCGGCCTCTAAAAGGTTCGCCGTCACTCATCTAGACTTTCCTCCCCACAAAAGGAGTGGTCACCACCCCTCAGATGCCCATATCCCACCTTACCCGAAGCAAAGCTTCCTCCCATTCCTGCATAAAGGCCACACTTCCCCGCAGGCCTCGGTACACACTTGGAGAACTGGTTTAGTGTGTTGGACCAGGGGCCCACAAGAGCTGTGTCCTAGTTCCCGCTCGGCCTTTGGGTTAGTCCCTTGCTCTCAGTCTCGCCTACCTCACAGGGTTGTTGTGAGGATACGATTGCGAAAAGAGGCAAATTCTGGAAGCTGCCTTGTCTTCCTTGACAGAAAAAAGCGGTTATAAATATAATAATTAAATATATAGCCATAGTTATTTCACCCGTCCCTTTAGATCACTCACAGCCATAGGCGTGGGGAGTGCAAATTCCCATCTCGTGTCTTGACACTGCTTCCTCCCCCAGATGAGGGACGTGGTTGGGGCGGCCACGGCTGCACAGACCTATTACCGGAGCTGCATGGACAACACCATCAAGTACATGGCTTTTTACAGGATCCCTCCGTCTGTCCAGAACCGAGTCAAAACGTGGTACGAATACACGTGGCATTCCCAAGGCATGCTGGGTAAGAGGGATGGCTCCTTGGCCTGAGGGGATGCTGGATGTTTCTGCAGGTGGGCGGGCAGGTTCCTACGTGGACGCAACTCAAGGTGGACCTCCTGGAGTTTCCTGTAGGGTGAGGCCCATCAGAAGCGGCAGCTGCCCCCGTCCAGCGCCATCTTCGGAGCTGCAGGCTCTCCCCAGCACCTTTGCAGAAAGCTGCGCCTCCTGGCCAGAGCAGGGCGCTGGGAAGAGGCAGAGGGTAGGAGGGGGCACGCCGGGGTGGGGCTGAGGCAGGAGGCAGAAGCTGTGCATTTGCTGGGCCGCCGTGTCTCCGTTCGGAAAGAGGGAGCAGCACCTCCACCTTAGCAACCTCTTCCTCCCGATCTTAAGAAGACGAGTGACACGTTTTCGGCCCTTCTGTGTCTTCCACTGCTCTGGAAAGAGGAGGGATTAGCTGTCCCCATCGCAGCAGAGTTCTGGCACGGCTCTCGTCGAGGAGCTGGTTAGCCAGTCCCTGCAACTCAGAAGGGCTCAGATGTCGTGACCCCCAAGCCACGAGTTGCCGGGTGACTCGTTCCCAGAAAGCAAGCTGCCCTGCAGGAAGAGGGTCCGGCGATCCCAGACCACCGCCGTGGCTAGCAACCCGCAGTGGGCTGGTGCTGTGTGTGAACCTGGTCCACAGAGCCGGCTGCCCAGAGGGCCGGCTCTTGCTCACTGCAGCAGGTCTGGCAGAGGCTGGACGTCCGTCTGTCAGGAATGCTTTCCATGAGCTCCTGAGCCTGCGCAGCCCTTCCCAGCGCCTTGCGGGTTCTGGGACATGGCCAAGGACTGCCAGCACGCCTGAGGTTGCGGAGGGCCACCCGCACGCAATGCTTCTGCCCCTCTCCTCCCCGCAGACGAATCGGAGCTGCTGGCGCAACTGCCCGACAAGATGCGGCTGGACATTGCCGTCGACGTGAACTACGACATCGTGAGCAAGGTGCCTCTCTTCCAGGTGCGCCTCCTTCCCCGTGCGGCGTCCCACCTGAACCCTGGGATGCCTGCACGGCTCAACCAGCTCCCCTTTCTTTTGGCTCAGGGCTGTGACCGGCAAATGATTTTTGACATGCTGAACAGACTCCGCTCGGTGGTGTATTTACCGAATGACTACGTGTGCAAGAAGGTAAGGAATTTGGCCGTGCTGGAGGCCAAGCCGACCGAGCTTCGTGGACACTTTGTGGCTTTTGGTATGTGCCCCCTTTTTTGGTGATTTTGGGGCACAGCCACAGGAAGAAGTGTGAAAATAACTGTGGGAGATTGCTCTGCTCTCAAAACTTACTGAGAATAAGCAAGCACGTTGAAAGATGCTTCAGTGGAAGAAAGAACTCAGTTTTATTGTTGGGAAACCTTATCTCTAGCTTGGATCTGAACATATCTTAATGAAAGTAAATCCTTTCTTATGTTTGTTTTAGGGGGAAATTGGCCGCGAGATGTACATCATCCAAGTTGGGCAAGTCCGGGTACTAGGAGGACCTGATGGGAAAACAGTGCTTGTGACTTTGAAAGCGGGGTCCGTGTTCGGAGAAATAAGGTCAGGCCAACGAAAAATGGCATCTGGGGAGGAAACTGAGCTTGGGCACGAGGAAAGGGGAGAAAGGGGCCTTGAGAAGTGCGGCTTGGCTTGCATGCTTTCCAAACGTAGACTCACACATTGCGATTCAACTTGAATCGTATCTCTTCAATTCAACGAAAAAGGTTTCATTGATTCTGAGGGACGTCCTGACCAGAAAGAGAAATGGGTGTTTGCTGGGGCTGTGGCGTCCGTTTCCACACTTTCTGTGCAAATCCACGCAGCATGAGCTCCTGTGAACGTCCATTTAGAAAAGGCAAGGTGCACCTGAGAGATCTCACCCCATGGGGCAGGGATGTGGAACAGAGGACGCAGGAATGTGGCACCCCACAGAAAGGGTCTTTCCGGCATGGGGAGTCAGTCTGTGGGGATTCGGGATGGAGCTCAGGTCCAAGTCTGACCCCCCTGCAGACCCAAAGCAGGCAGTCTTGGCCGGAGCAAGCAGAGAGCTCCGGGACTGGCAAAGTCTGCTTAGTTGTTTGTTTGTTTATTAAATATGTTTAAAAGCTGCCCGTGAGCAACAGGCTCCCTGGGCAGCCGTTACAGTATAAAACCAACAAATAACATTCATAAAATAATGCAATTAAAATCCTATAATAAATAAGCAAAATAAAGTCACAATAAAATAGTTAAATAAACTCAAAATGTATGTTAATATAATTAAGACCATGCACTGGTGGGATCCTTGTCTAGAGGGTGCCGGCGGCGCACTGGGAAAGGAAAGCTTTTGCCAGGCGCCTGAGACTCAATAAGGCGGGCGCCTGGCGAATCTCTGGCAGGGGAGTGTTCCAGAATCGGGGGCCACCACCAAAAAGTCCATATGGTTCTTGTAGACCTGATGGTGCTTTCAGTGAGTTTAAGACACACGTGCTCAGATTTTTTTATTTTTAATTGGGATTGGCGAACCTTTCTTGGTTTTTCTGTTTCGTTCCGACTTACCAGATGTCAGGCAGCGCTGGTCGGGGTGGGGGAGAAGTAAGACAGATGATGCACACCTGCAGTGATGCCCATGCGTGCTTCGAGGGGCCCTCGTGAGCCTATTTAATTCTGGGCTGGAAATTGCACACCGTTTCCCCTGCAAGGACCCCCTTTTCTGCAGGACTCCGGGACTGGGGAGCAAGTGCAGCTAGGAAGCACCAGTTGCTCCGGCTTTACGGAGGGAAGACGAGAGTGGCCCCGGGAAGGAGAACCTGAGAGAAGGGCTGGTCCCCACGGGGCAAGGCCGGATGCAGCAGGGCCGGGAAAGGGTGAGGGTGGATGCAGCGGAGTGCGGGAAGCCCGCCGGGGCCCTCGCCTGACGCCTCTGCTCTTCTGATTAGCTTGCTGGCTGTGGGAGGTGGAAATCGGCGCACGGCCAACGTTGTGGCACATGGGTTCACTAACCTGTTCATTTTGGAAAAGAAAGACCTGAATGACATTCTGGTGCATTATCCGGAGTCTCAGAAACTGCTGAGGAAGAAGGCCAGGTGAGCTGCCCGATGACCAGGTGGGGTGATGTGGACGTGGTTGCTGCTGCTGCTGCTGCTGCATTTCTCTATGGCCTGGACCCAGAGCTCTCTGGGCCCCTCATGCCGCTGGAGTCCCCCATCCACATTCCAGCCAGGCCTGACCCTGCTTAGCTTCCAGCTCTGCAGGGTTAAGCTGCAGGGGAACCAGGCGCCCTTGCATGGCGGTGCCCGGGGACAACTCGCCCGGAGGCTGCGGTTCCGTTGCCCGGAAGGTGTCACTGCCAGTCCAGGCTGGGCAGACCATGCCTTGCAGGGGAGCTGGAGAGGCACCCTCCTTCCACGCCATCTTCGACTGCTTTGTGGCAAGGTGAGCGCTCGCAGTGGGGGGGTGCCGCTCCTTGGGAGGAGGGGAGGGCCCTGCTGGGCAAGGCGCAAGGCAGTGGGGGGGAGGGGCGGCCGGGCAATTCCAGGCGCTCTTGGATGACACGGATGTCCTGGGCCCATCTCAGCCCACCTTCCGGCCTGGGTTTGGCCCTGAAGCCACCTGGCGGACAGGGAGGAGAAGGGAAGGCCATGCGGCGCCGGTCCCTCGGTCCCATTTTCGGGCTGGGGTTCTGAATCGCAGCAGGCGCATTGCTCAGCCCTGCCCTGCTCCTTCACAGCCGCTGCGCAGCATTCGCGAAGGAGAAATGCCGGAGTTAAGCACAGACCACAAAAGGATGTCGTGCTTTCCCCTCTTAAAAATTAGCTGTTGGAACTGGGATTTCCCCTGTTTTCCACTTTGAGCTTTAAGCTAATGCTTAAATGTCCCACAATAACGGGCTTTCTAAATAAAAATTGGATAAGACAGGAAAGGGTCTTTGCTTACTCTAAGTCTAAGGGACACAGGCTAAGGGCAACGTTATAACACCACCTAAATAGGTTTCTTTCATAATCCATGGCTCCTTCATGCTTATGTTTTTAAAAGGCTAATAAATTTTATCATTCATGTACTAGTTTTTAACATGAGCTTTCAGCCAGTTTTCTTGCTTTTCAATTTGTTCACCAATTATCTGGAATTAGGAGTGGGCAGTGGGGTGGGTGAGTTTGTTGGTGGCACCAACCCATTTCGAATGGTTAAAACAAAGAGCGACAGCAAGCTCCGTCTCTGGGCACCAGTTGCTGCGGAACATGCACCAAGTGTCCTGCATTCCTGTCCTGCGTGGGGCGGGGGAGAAACAATGCGGGAGCGATATTCTCCCAGAGCGGAAGAGGCAAATTCACGGACTGAGCTTCGACAGCCATCTGGTTGGGCACGGCGAGAGTAGGCTATTTAGCTAGATGGTCCTTGGCTAATACGAGTCCATTTAACCAGGTGGGCCTTTTGCTGATAAGGCATGGTGCTTCTCCAGCGCTCTTACAACTACTGTCTTCCCCTCCTGTTCTAGGAGAATGCTGAAAAGCCACAACAAGGCCAAAGATGACAAGGGTGTGCCCAAGGAGGTGCTGGTGATCCCGCCAAGGGCCGGGACACCCAAGCTCTTCCAGGCCGCTTTGGTCGCTGCGGGCAGGATGGGAGGCAAGGGGAGGCTGGCCCACATCCGCTGGCGACTGAGAGAGCTGCAAGCCATGCAGGTACGCAGAGGCGCCCAGTGGGGGAGCTTCGCCACGCTGCAAAACAGGCCTGGAAGCCCTCGAGGCACGGCGGGCGGGAGGCCCGGCAAGTGCCTGCCAGGAAACGGTGGGCGCGCTCCCCGTGGAACCATGACCTCCTGGGGGGGGTCACCATTTCAACCGGGGGGCTTCCGGGCGGCAGCCTCGGGCCCCCGTGGGGTCACAGTCAGTTGCGGTGTGCCAGTGCTCACGGTGACGCCCTGGAGGAGAGGCTGGAAGTGCCGGTCCGTGCCAACAAAGAGGGACCTGGGGGGAATCCACCCGGGCTTTGGTGGCCCTGCTTTGCGGCCTGCTGCCCAGCTCCGGCTACCAGTCCTGAACCCTGCTGCTCAGAGCGCATTCCTACGGTCAGAGGCCTCCGGGGCTTGCAGCCTTCTGCGCATTTCTCATTTGATGCACTAAGTGCTGGATGCATTTCTTTTTCAGGCTGCCAGTCCCATGCCAGTCCTTCCCAAATCCCCAGCCAGTCACCCCTCGCCAGCTGCCTCCGGGCAATCAGAGGACTGCAGGCCTGAGGAGAGAATTCCACCGAGCCCCGACCATGATCACGCCGTCCGTATTCACACGAGTCCAACACCCCGAGGCGGCGAGCAAGTTCTCTCTGTACAGGTTTTAGACAAGGAGGGGGCCGAGTAGGAAAGCTGCATAGCAGGCACTTCTGTGTCTCTTAGAAGATTTTGGTCCCAGGAATGGAACCGCTTCAGATCACGTTGGCATGGGGGGTTCAGCCATTCAAAAGCTTCTCTCCAAGGCTGTGCTTTTAGCAGAAAAGGCTGCTGAAATTAATCTTTTCACAGTAGGACCTAGGAAGCTTTGCATTCTTACACATCCATTTTGTTGTCACAAGGCGTCACGTCATCTCAGGTTTAGGGTGACCCTTTGGATGGGTGTCCTCCAAGTTGTGTCCCCTGCTCGGCTCCGGTAAACTCAAGGCTGGACTTCCTTCGTCACAGCATATATCAATATGAGTGCCGCGAAAACATGTTTCTGGGCTATGGGGCTGTGCTTTGAGGACCGGATCAGGCCTTGGGGGCAGGGTGAACAAGCCCCACTCTGCTCTCCTGGGCTAGCCAGTGTGGACGAGGAAGGGCGAGTGGTGAACAGTGCGTGCTGGCATTCTTGCAGGGGGAAGTTCAGCCGTAAGACGGCAGAGTAAATCAGTTGCTTGGATGGCTGAGGACGATTTAGATATCCAGGAATGAGTTGCCCAGAGGGGAAATATCACAGTTGCTTATTAGTGTTTGTTGCAGCAAACTAACAGCAATAAGCCGAAATAAACTTTGTGGCACCGAAAAAGACTAAAGTGTCATGACACGAGATGGCCAGGAGGTGGCAGTGGAGAGCTGAGAGGCGACCAGGCCTGCTCTGGCGCCGCTTTTGAGACAGCCAGCCTGTTGCCCGCACAGGTGTGCTGGACGATGACGGGAGGGGTGGGGGCAGGTGGAGGGCCTTTTTTGCTGCGGCCCCCCTTGTGGGCTATTATTCTCTGCCTCTGCAGCCCCAGGTCTGGTCCCGAGTGCATCATGGAGCAGAGACCTCGTGCTGAATCCCCCAGCCTTGTCCGAGTTTATGAATAGCCATTTCATGTCAGTGCCTCAGTTAATTCTACGTGTATCTGGCCCCATTGCCCACACCGGCCCCAAAATCACTCACGTGGCCTTGGTCGTCGTCCTCTGCATTTTGTCCTCAACAACAACCCTGCAAGGTAAGCCAGGCGGAGAGTCTGGGTGCCTACAGGGGGACTGCAGGCAGTCCCAGAACCACCCTGTGACCACCAACACCCACGGCCCGTGATGCCACACTGGTGCACTCATGTTAAATGCTATTTAAGTTGGTCCAGTGCAGGGCCCCAGGAACGGCAGCCGGGCATTTCGGGAGAGCTCGAGGGAACTGGCTCTTTTCAGCCTGGAGAAGAGGAAGCTCCAAAGGGATCCTTTAGCAACTCGTAGGTCGGAGTGTGAGGGGATGGCATGTGGAGGAGGGCCGTAAGCTGTTCTTTCCTGCAATGGAAGGCAGGACGTGTTCCACCGGGGCAAAAGAACCAGGCTCCAGTTTGGAGGTCAGGAAGTGCTTCCCGATCGTTGGGACCCCCAGGATATGGGAGGGGCTTCCAAGGGAGGTGATGGAGGCCCCATCAGTGAGGACGCTCAAGAATGATTGGACAGCCACATGCTGGGGATTACATGAGTGGAGCCGGCTGGAGCCAGGAGGCCCCTTCTGCCTCACTCCATTCTGTGCTTCTATGCCAAATGCCTTCTTTCTGCACACTGCCCTGACCCTGCTCCCGAAGGGCCGTGGAGGAAAGTTTTGTGAACAAATGAAACTCAAGAAGTGGGCAGGGCCAGTTCCCAGCATGCTTGGCAAGTGGAAGGGGTGCAGTGAGGGAGAGGAGAGGTCTGGGGGCATGTGCCCCCAGAAAGCAGACAGAGGGCAAGCCAGAGTCACAGCTTGAGCCCTACGGCTGCACAGCTCTTTCCCTTGCTGCTTGTCCGGCGTTTGAAGTGTGGGCATCCGCTCCCTCAGATTCTCCAGCCTTTCACGGGCTCGTCTTCTGTCTTTGCCACCAGGCCCACTGGGTGTCCTGTAAGAAAGGCACCCCACTAGTTCAAAGCAGCCAGCGCGGGGCCTCTGCCACTCACCCAGCCATCGCTGGGCTAGTCCCGCCAGGGCAGGTGCCCGTGGGCTCACTTGCCCTGGACACTCGCCCGTCTCCTTTGCACGGCTGTCGCAACAGCTTCCTGCACATCTGTGGCGAGGTGGCGCAGGAATGGAGGAGGAATGCTGCCGAGCAGCGTGCCGTGGATTTCCAGAGCAGGCAAGGCTCAAGTGGCGGCCAGGAGATTTTGGGTCAGCCTGCCTGCCTGCCTGCTGGAGGAGCAGAGCCATTCTCAGTTTTGCATGCTGCAGCTTGGCGGCAGACCAAAGCTCACCACTGAGAAGAGAGCAAAGGCCGCTTCCCGCTGGCCATTTACGATGTGGTCACACGCAGGAGGGGTTAGTTTCTGCAGCCTAGATTTAGGCAAGCGGCACGTGAGAGAGTACATTTCAAGCCATCCAAGGCCGCTGGGTGCCTCTTTCCTCGAGTGACAGAGGCATTCCTTGCTTTGCTCACTGCAACCCCCTCCCTTATTTCAGGAGCAGGGAATAAAATTGGCTGCAGAAAGAGCTAGCAGGATGGGAACCCGGGGCGAGAGTGGGGGAAGAAACACGACGTCCCAAGCGTCTACAGTCAGCAGACAAAAGTACATTTGTATTCCGAGGCTAAAAATAAATGGCATGCAGTGCCAGCCTTCACGTGGCTGTGAGCGAGCGAGCGAGCGAGCGAGACCTTGGCTGGATGCCGCAGAGAAAGACCCGCCTGAGGAGGAAGGCCGGAAAAGCAATGCCACGGGGGTGGGGGGAGCGTGGCCCCAGGCTTCATGCCCCCCATCCCACCAAGCAGGGCCCCCGCCAGGCAGAGAAACATATAGTTTGTCAGGGAAATGCTTGATCCAGGAGGGGCAGCAAAGGTTTTGCTTGGCTTTTCAGGGATCTCGGAGCTGTGATTTCCCCCGATTTTTTTGCAGTTGCTGTTGAGGAACACCTGATGTGCTCCCATGTCCAATTTCTTGCTATTAGAAACAGATGATGCAACAGTTTCAGTAGAATATCCATAATTATTGTCGTGCCTTTATGTCAAATTAAACACAGATACATGATGCTTTCAGGGTTTAAAATCATTAAGGAAAAATCTGAGCGAATATATTTAAACGTGACAAAACGGATGAAGGCAAAGTTGCAAATGTAGGGAATGAAAAAGATTAATAAAGAAATGAGGTGTCTGGAAATAAAACTTCCTTGAAGTATTTGTGTAAGAGTGAAGGTGGAATCCGGAGGGGTGCTTGGACTTTGGCTGATTCCCTTACGCCCCACGTTCTTGGTGAAAGGAGGACCTTCCATTTCTCGGGAAACTCAAAATGAGTGCAGAAACTCGTTTCTGAAAAGGGCAGCTCGGCAGAGTTCACATGTTTTCATGGTGCAGCCTTGCCTTGTCTTCCCTAATTGGACCCTTACAAAGGATTTAGTGAAGACTTGGATTTCTGTGTGTCTTAGACTGAAATAGACTTAATTTGGCCTAAAAGGCCTGAAGTTGCTCCCCTCACATAAAAGTGCAATTAACTGTGGGGGATTTCTTGACAGTTGGAGCCATTGTTCTCAAAGGCCAAACAAGATTATTAAGTTTGCTTTGAAGAACGGCTGGCCTGGGATCCTTGCAGCAAAGGTTAATGAAGCTGTTCATCCACCAAAAAATAAATCAGGCATGTCACAGAATGATCCAGCCCGTGAAGTGGCCATTCCGGACTCACTGCAAGATCGCGCACAGGGGGAAGGGTGCGCTGGTCCCAAGGGCCACTGCTAACAGTCCCATCAAAAGTTTTTTAGAAAGAACTCTCAGAAGAGAGAAATTCTGCTCTTTCAATGTGCATCGTTGCGCTATTTTCAGAGAAGGGAAAGAAACTCAGCATGTTTTGTTGTATCACAGGCTCCTTTGGGCCACCAAGAGTTTTTACGATCGGAACATTTTTCTTTAAATCTGCAGCAGGCCGGTACTCTGTTTTTTGTTCTCATATATTCACCTTTCCCTCTATAGAATTCATTTATTTTTATTGCAATAAGCCATCTGGACTACACCTGCTGGTTCTTTTATAATCTAAGTTCGGACTTCAAGAAGGTAGGAGAGGGAGAGAGATCAGCAATGGGTTTCTTTGTGCATCTTACCTTGACATTCTTGTTCTCACTGATAGAGAACAAGAATGTTCCTGAATTTGCTCCTGAATTCGGAGCATACGCAAGACAGGAAACTGCTGTTCCTCAGTAGTGACAAAAAGACACTCTGCACCTGCTCAGAGGCACTTTAATTTCCAGATGCCAGGGCTCATTGCTGACACTGAAGCAGGCTCCCGGGCTGAGCCGAGGTGGCGCATGATGCGTGCGGGGGATTTCCGGGGCCTCGTCCTGGTTGTGGGACACCCTCCCCAGGTAGACCTGCTCAGTATTTCTGTGGCCCAGGGACGCCTCCTCCGCTTCCCGGGATGTTTAGCCCTTCGCTTGCTTCTCAGCGGTTGTGAATACTTCCCTCTTCAGCCGCTGGTCATCGGCGGTCCTGCTTTTACGTTCCCTTCACCTGTTCCTCTCTTAAAGGTCTTGCGTTTACTCCTGCGGCGGCGCGCGGGGTGCTTCAGCTTTGGAGAACTGCCCAGACAGGTTTGGCTCGTTGGATGGCCTGGAGAGCCAGATATGAATGGACGCTGCGTTGCCGGTAACAATAAAGGGAGCAGGGACAGCTCTGAGAAGGCGACTTCTTTGAGTGCTGCTGCAGCGGGGTGGGCGAGGGGAGGCGGGAAGGTGACAGCGCATCCTGTGTGCAGAGAACAAGCTGCCAGTGTTCAGGGCCTGCGCTTCCCTGGCAGCAGAAGGGGGTCAGTGCTGAATTTTTAAAAAGAATTCCGGCAGCTTTCATCCCTGCGCCACTGTCCCCTCTGCTTTCGCTTAGAGAAGAGGCAAAAGTATTTTGCATATGCCCAGATGTGCTCGTTTCACGATGATGTAACTTATTTCTGCTTAAAGGTTTTTTTTTTAATCTTTTTTTGAATCGGTGGCAAAGAATTCTTCGGTAAAAGCACTGGCAGTGCCTCAGTGTTGTTCAGCTGTAAAATGGAACCAATATTCTCTAAACCGTAAACATGTTTCCTTGTGCATGAAAAGAAAGTTAAGGGGCGGTGTATATTTGATCGTGTGAGGCTTTGCTGCTGGCTACCTGCGCACTTCGGCTTGTCTGCAGGTTTCATTCCTGCTTGTCGCGCCAGAACCAGGCGTGTCCCCTCCACCGCTGCCCCCAAGCCAAGCCACTGGGTCACTGCGTTGTGCTCCTGGACACCCACCTGTGCGCAAGAAGAGGCCTGTGCTCATCCAGGGGGTGCCAGAGGGAGTGTCAACCGTGGGAGGATCATGCCAGCCCGGCCATGTATAACATGTGGCAAGAGGCTGCCAGAGCAGGACGCCCTGTAGCTGGGCTCCCCCTGTGCAGCTGGGGGTGCTGTTGCTGTTTCAGCCTGAGCCAGGACAGAGTGCCTGGGCCAACTGGTCCTCTGAGGGCAGTGCTGGCTCCAGGAATGCCCCAAACGATGAAGCCGATTCCACGGGGAGAGCACAAGCCCCTCTGGAGCAGAGCGGGCGTCACGCAAGCGGCCCAGTCTGGGCTGAGCCTGTGTACTGACCCCATCCAGTCCATCACTGCACCCCGACTCTGCTTCAGA